TCTATCTCTCCCTTTCCCTTCCTCTCTGAAATCAATAAAAATATTTTTTTAAAAAAAGACATTTGCTATGTAGAGATCAATCCTGTCACCTTCATTAAAGATGCTGGAGAAAACACAAACTGCTTAAATGTAGGCAACTGCACATTCCTGGTTTTTGCCTCAGCTTGGCCTTGGGTTCCATCTAATTCCTGTGGTGTGTTTCTGGTCTTATCTTTTCCAGTCCCACATCTGAACCATTTCCCGCCTCTGGAGTCTTTACCACAACCAACGCCCACCCCACCCCGCCCCCGCCACCCTCCCAATTGGAATTCTGGGCAGATGAGCTACTCAGCCTCCACAGTAGAAATGTGAGGTCATCCTTGTTCTCCTCATCTGTCCTGATGTCATTAAGGAGCACACATCTGTCCATGTAGCTGACTCCGGGGCAATACTTGGTCTGTCTAAGGAAATCACAGTCTTTAGTTTTACAGATGCAGCCTTTCCATAGTCTGCCCTCTGTTTTCCATGCCAACCTCATCTTCTGTTCCACGTCTCGCACTTGCACACTCTTACACCATCCCAGTCCCCAGGCTGCAGCTCGCCTTTCTACAGCTCCTGGCACAGTGCGTGGCATGCAATTGTCAGTAGGTCAATATAAGTTGGAGATAGAAATGAACAGACGTCCTTCTCTGCTTATTACTCATTATGATCAGCATTCTTCTCCAGGGATAAAGTCTAACATGAGAAATGTATTATGGATTCAAGAATTAGAAGATATTTGAACTGTGACTCATTCCATTCACCCGTTTGATGAATAAATCTCTTCTCTGACGTCTCTAACTATTTGTGAAGCTCAAATAGCTCTTAGGTCAATGAGCTAATTACCTCTACCAACAACCTATTTAATTTCCAGGAAACCATGATAAACATTTTTAATGCAAAGTTTTTCTTTATATAGCTTTTATCTGCCAGTACTAGTTCTCGGTCTTGGCTTTTGATGGGACACATCTAATCCTCCTTCATGATGCTGGTACTTCAGGTTTTGGAAGACAGTTATGCTCTTTCCCTCAGGGTCTCCTCTTCTCCCTGGTAACATGCCCAATTACATAATCTGTGCCTCTTACCTTCTGGTGTCACTCTCTCTGCTGTCAGCTGGCCCACAGAGAAGCACCCGGACCTCCCTCCTGGTAGCTGTCATGCTTATTAGTGCAGCTGAGATTACACTGGAGGCTTTGATGGCAGCATCCCTTTGCTGACTCATTTTAACTGAAGTCGTTTCCTTATTAAGTACAGAAACTGTGTATTCCTACCATCCATTCTGTTGCATTTCAGTTGAAAGTTGAATACATAAATATGAAACTTGAACAATTATATTTTTTTTAACTTAAATTTCATCTCTTGAATTTCATCTTGTCAGAGAGGATTTTTTGGTGTGAATTCTAATGATCATGACATTACATATCCAATATCCTTTCCTGTTTTTTGTCAATGCAAGTTTATGCCATGGATGAAATTATGCAATAGGGTTAGATAAAAATACCTGTAGTAATATATATTTATTGAAAATTAAACATATGCCAGGCATCATAGCTTAGCATTTCCATGTGCATTCTAGGTAGTTCCACACAACACATTAATCAATACCCTCACCTTACACATGAGCCACTGAATTGGGTATAGGTCCCTGAGGGCTGCCTCTGGAAAGATTTCTTCCAGCTGATATTAATTCACTCACTAGTCTTTCAACTAGTTACTAACAAATAAACTTACTTGTACTAGAATCTAATTCATAAGTTTGTTATATAAGATAACAGTATCACAAACTCCTCTTTATTTATCTTTATGATGTTCCTGATTACTTTAATGACATACAACCATTGAAAATTTATGGAAAATATAGAAAATTATAAAGAAAAAATAATAATCACCCTGAATCTTACCATCCAGAAATAACCACTGTTAACTTTAAAATATTTATTAGTCGTTTTTGTTTACACTTATACATGATCTCATGTGTCTTCTTATCAATTCTTCCCTAGTTACAAGAGTCCAATTCTTTCAGAAGGCAGCATTTTTGGCTGCCTTTCAAAAAACAAAACAACCCTTACATAAGTGAGAATATTATTAGTTAATAAGAGTGATTATTTGTCCTTTTAATATTTATGTTACTGGATCCCTCCAGCTTTTTTTTAAAATAGTAAATTTGCAATGAGGAATAATATATCTTTTATATTATTCATATGTAATATTGGCTTGTGAAATTGAGCAATATAGAATAATTGGTAATGTGTATGAATCTGTATACAATTTTACTTTTAAAATATCTATCTTTGTTATTAACTACCATATGCCTTACCATCCCTAAATGACATTCTAAGGACTAGGACCTTGGGGCCTCACCATCCTTCTAACCACTGCTCTTTCCATTACATGCTGTCTCTCTTGATCTATAAGAATTGGGACTTTAGGGTCCTTCTTGAGAAATTAGAATTTGATTCAAGAAACCATAACAGGACTTAAAGGAGAGAAATAACAGGTCCAAAGGGGCATGTTAGAAGAGAGTTTGGCAACACTGGGAAATGAGAAGAGAGCTTGTGATGGTAGGGTCTGATGGTTCAGCAAAGTAGGCCTTTAATCTTAGGTAAAAGGTTAAAAGTGCAAGGAAAAAGAGAATAAACCTAAGTTTTGTTATTGTAAGAAGAATCGTCATGGTTTTTGATGGATGCACTGGATATCTGGAAATAAAGACAAGTAATGCAGCCCCTGTGTTGGATATCACTCTCTATGACTACATTAAAAGTTTGACCTCTAAAGAAGCTTCGCATTTATATTTGAGGACCATTTTACAGGCATCTAATTGATGGGCTCGATCAGCCCATTGGTGCTGTCTTTGTGAGGAGGGCACTTTGAGGACTGGGGTGGGAGTATCTGGTTTGAATCTGGGTTCTGTTCCTTTCAGAGGCAGGTTGCCTGCCCTCTCTGAGTCTCGGTTCTTTCATCTGTAAAATGGGGATGAGCAAGTGGCAGTGAGAATCAGCTAAAATAGTAGACACAAAGTCCCTAACCTAGTTATTGACATGTAGAAAGTTCTCAGCAAATGCTAGAATCTCTGTCCCATCTCTCCTTTGTCATTTCTCCTCTGTGGCTGCTGCTATCAGGAAGCTACCATCAAGGTGTGGGTGTGCTATAACTCATGGGGTTCCAGGTCCTTTATTATTTCTTTAGAAGAGAAAGTATGGGCTCATGGTGTCATTTAATTATAATTTATTTATCCCTTTTTATACTCAAGATTCATTTTTGTTGTGGTTGCTGTTTTATTTATACTGTTCAGTTGCTTTTCAGAAATGAAAAGCAAGGAATCATGATTTGAAATTCAAATAATGACTTTCAGCAAGGGTTCTGCCAGAGATGTCCACTGCAGCAGATGGGCAGCCTAGGAGATGTGCTTTCTTGGAGTAGTCTGTAAGAATCCTGAATGAAAATATAAGAATAATAGTTTGACGTATCCCTGTTTGCTTTCCATAAGAAGAAAAGGCTAGCTATCTGTGGTAGTGGCAGAGTTATCAGACCTCAGAATGGGGGTTTTCTTGAGGATAGCTAATCAGCCACTTACTTACTGTGTGATCCAAAGTAAGTACCAGATAGAGGTGCTGAGAGAATTGAAGAGGTAATGTGTAAACTACTTTCAGCAGTTTCAGGCACACACTAGGTCCACAATAAATGCTTGTCTCTTTCTTTTCTCCAAGTCTCTGAGACAACAGTTCCTTTTCATTAACATATGAACGTGGGGAACTGAGCTGTGTGCTGCTTGCTCATTAGAGTTTGATAGCTTTGCCTGGCCTTTGTGAACTGCTAACAGCAGGTGAGGTATTGCTGGCTCTCAGTAACTAACTTGATCTAGGTAGACCAAACATTTATGAATAAGTAGATTTTAAGAATTAGGAAAAACCTTCATGTGATAAATACTAGATGCCTTTCCCCTGATACTTGAGTGTTTTGTGTGTGGGAGGTAATTTGGGAGACTTAGCTTTTCTTTGAAAAAGATTTAAAGGAAAATAGAAGCAATCAAGCAAAATTCTTCTTTCTTAAAGTTATTATGCTTAGAATGAAAATACGAGAGTAGATGAGAGGAGGTCTGGTAACAAGGCCAACAATTCCTATGTCATTGAACTGTACTCCTCTTGCAAATGGCCTGTGTAATTTTGCTTTCCCCTGTCTTTCTTATAACAATAATAATAAAAGTAATAATAATAATATTTTACATTTTCCCAGCATTCTTAAGTTGATCCTGTTATTGAAATGTGATGTTTCAACATTAGAGACAAGATTTTCATAAAAATCATGAAATAAACATGTGCCATACATTTTAATTCAACTCATCTATATATAAAAAAGCCAAGTGACCGATACGACCACACAACTGGAATGACCGGTCGCTGTAATGTGCACTGCATCTGGCCAACCACCCCAAGGCTGGGGCCTTGTTTTATTTGTGTTTGTATTTCTGGATAACCAGTGCTTAGCATGAGGCCTTGTGTAGCCCAGTGCTCCTTTGAGTATTTACTCAGTTGGAAGAAATATCATTGGAAGATGGTGGAGGCAAACTTTTCGTATGCCTAACTCCAGTCATTCTAATACCATCCCTATGGAGTAAGTTCATACTGTAGTCAAGTAATGTTGGTTCACTGTTTCACAAGAATGTGAGCACCTATTATGTATCAGGTATTGTGCCAGATGCTTTGGACAAAAGGACAAGAACTAGCTTTTGTATTTAAGTCTTGTGTCCTATTAGGGGAAACAGATACGTAAATAAACAAATTCAACCTCACATGACACTTGCTGGAGGTCACACAGCCTGTGAGTGGTGGGACTGTCCTTGACATCTAAGTATGTTTAGCTCCAAAGCCACCAACCCAAGATGCTTCCAGAACAGAAACACTAGCGAAGCTCCGCATGAATTCTTTGCTGTATCATTTGACACCATTATTAAAGCAAACCATTTTGTTGTATTTGCAAATTAGGTCCTTCAGAAGCTTGGCAAAGCTGACGAGACAAAAGATGAACAGTTCGAAGAATATGTACAGAACTTCAAACGGCAAGAGGTAAGTGCCTTTCTCCAGCTTATGGAGTGGACATGGATGGACAGTATTTGCGCTTTAGCATGTAACCAAGATGCTTTCAGGCTGAAGAGAGAACTTCGTTGGGTTTGGTGTTAACCTGAGGGTAAAGCTTGTGAGTTCTCTAAGGCTTTCCAGTGGAGGGCGAAGGAAGAGGCGGCAGGCACTGCAGGGAGAAGACTTGTGCTTCTTCTCAGGAGAATCTCGGGAGATTAAGACTTCACTTCTCTGGAGCTTTTTAATGTAGTTTATTGATTTTTTAGGAAAGACAATGTTTTTGGTGATTTATATTCCACTAAGCATTAGCAGTAGTTATGTACTTTTGGCAATTACTTTAATTGCTGCCTGCTTCAAGATCATCCATTCTCAGTAGGGAGGATATCTCCCCTATGGGGGTGAAAATTGCTTCTTGGTGGATGAAAAAATTGTACTCTTTTTATGTGTATATATTATATAACCAGATTTATAGTGTATCTGTGGTATTAAAATTTCATGGGGTGGGGTACATAAAAAAATGTCGGAGGAGACCATGATGGAAAAGAGTTGATAAACACCATTTCCTTTAATGGACTTGTATGTGTTTAACAGACACATGAATAAAGGCACAGTTTTTGAAATTACTTGTTTATCTCGCTAAGGCTTAGCCTATCACTCTTTAGAGATCATGCATGAGGGTCAGGGAGAGGGAAGATGCAGGTGGGGTCGCTGAGGTTAGAAGTTTCAAATCTAGAGATCCTTTTTAGAAGTGAGAAGAAAGCTGGGCCATAAGAGGCTTTCCAGACCCTCTGGCAAATGGAGTTTGGACATGGAACAAGGTAAGGACATGGGTTACTTTCCTGCTGCCATTTATAGCTACCAGTGTCCACAGAGGACATTGGGGGCCTCAGGAATAAGTATATGAGAAAAGAGAGAGAAGAAAACTGTAATAGGAGAATAAATCATGTCCAAATAACTAAGAGAGCGTTGTATTTAAGAAGATAGAAAATGGAATTCTTAGAGAAATGTTGGATCCAGGTCCATAAAATTAGGTATCTCTCTTCCCCCCTCTCGCCCCCCTCTCCCCTCAGTCTTCTCCAGCAGAACAAATTTTCTGTGTCTTTCAATGCTCTCATCTGGTGAGTTTTCATCCATTCTCTCATGCATTAGGGCAACACTCATACAGGTCATTGTCTAAGATCCAGACAACGTCCCACAGAAAACCTTGTCCATCAGCTCTCTGGATTATAGGGAAATCCCAATGTCTGCTTTAAGGGATTGGATTTGGATAGAAGTGACTCATGCTTATAGTTTTCTCTACTTAAGGATTTACACTCTATCCTTTGAAACCTAGTGTTCCCACTTGGTATGTCCCCATGGAGCTAATTAGTTCTTTGTTCTTGGATTTTACCGCTCACTTATAGGACATTGTGATGTTAGAAGGCTAACCTTGGGAAGCATCAAGTTTAAGAACACATTCATGACAATGGAGTGCTTTGCCTTTTGAAAGTGCAGTGAATTTTTATTGCTCTTGTTTGGACTTTGTTGACTGAGGCAGATGAGGATTTTTTTGTTTTGTTTTGTTTTTGTCTAAAGTGCTTTATGCCTTTTGCATAAGAAAACCAAGTATTTGTCACAAAAAATTTTATTTTGAGAATGATGTTGATTATTCTTTTGGCCATGGTATTCATTGCTTTCTTATTTCCTCACAGTAATTTTATGACATTGCCTTGATTTTTCTCATTTCCATTGTTAAGTGGGGTTCTTCTATATCTGCATAAATTATTGCTTTGTACTCTAGGATCTTCTATCACTGCAACATTTAAAGATATAAAAACAGACTTTCTGGAAATATAACTGTGTGTTTGAGACTTAGAAGTATAAATGAAACACAAGAGGACATTCTAAGATTTCAATTAACTTGTGTTGGGGAGGTTTTGTACATTCCCCATGAAAATATTCCTTTGTAACATGACATGTAGCAGAAATTAGGCAAGCTTTTATGAAGCACCCAGTCTTTGCACAGTTCATCATTTAAAAAATACCAGATAGACAGTCAGCCAACGTTTATTGACTGTGTTCTGTGTGTCTGGTACTCTGCTGATATGTTACATGGACTGTCCCCCCTGATCTTCGGGAGCCCCAGGAAGTGAGTGATGTTATCATCTTCACTTTACAGATGAGGAACCAGAGGTCCAGAGCAGTTCTGTGTTGCCCAGAGTTGCACAGTTCAAGGTAGCAGAGCTCAATATTTTAAAGCCGGGCAGTGCAGCCCCACAGCCCACCTACATTAACATGATGCTCTATGAGTCACAGGTACTATACTCTGGAATCGTGAGAAAAAGTGAACAGTTGTTAGTTTTGTGTATAGAGTAGAACTGCATCATGAGAGCACAGAAAATGTCTTTAGTTAAATTATTCTCATTGACCTGCAGTAGATTCCACTGGGATGCATCCGCAGTTGGCATCCATGTCTTTAAAGCCAGTGTCTTTGAGGACAGTGTTGTGACTGAATTGTGCCTCTCCTAAATTTCTCGATTGGAATTCTAACTAACCTCCAGCACACCTCAGCAGTACACCTCAGACTGTGACTATATTTGGAAACAGGTCCAGTGAAGGGGAAATTAAGATAAATGAGGTCATGTGGGAGGGTTCTAATCCAATGTGACTGATGTCCTCATAAGAGAGAAACAGGGATGAACACATGCAGAAAAAGACCATGTGAGGACACAGGGAGAAGGAGGCTGTCTGCCAGCCAAGGAGAGAGACCTCAGGCAAAACCAAACCTACCAATACTTTGGCCTTGGACTTCTAGCCTCCAGAACTGTGAGGAAATAAATTTCTGTGTTGTTTTTTCCCCAGCCACCAAGTCTATGGTATATTGTTATAGCAGCTCTCATACACTAATACAGCATTACAAATGGCAGTTTCAGAAACATGTTGGCCGTTACATTATGACTGGAGCAATGAGGGGCAAGGCACTTCTTCCCTTCCACTGATGCATCTCTGAAGCTTGATGTAACTGTTATTTTTCTAGTACTTCCACTTTCTGTCTCATTTGGACATGATAGAACATTGTCAATAGCAAACTGGCATCCATATCCCCAGAGAGAAACAGAGCAGTAAGCCTCAGGAAGTGTTATTGTGGGGGTGGAGCACCTATGCAGTTGGCCTTAATTCCTAGGTCAGTCTCTCCCCTCAACAAAATTCAATTCTGTCCTCTAGGTATTAAGGCAAAAGTTGAAAAGATTTTGTATCATTCCCCTAATGTACCTCATAAGACAAGTCTCTTCATACACAATGAAAGGGGGGGTGGGAATTGGAATGGCTCTTCAAGGGTCACAAACTCAATTGCTTAAGGGCAATAAAGCATGTCTTCAAATTGTATGCAGCCTGCATGGTTTGGTGAGTTTAATGGTTCTAATAGGCATTTTCATCCCCTTGTGCACACACTGGGTGAGCTTTTCCAAAAGACAAGAATAGAGATCTGTATAAACTCAAGGCTTAAGGCAAACACATGGGAAAATAATATATGTAATTACTAACTAGCTTTCTAAATTTGTTTTGGTGAAAGGTAGAAAGTATATTTTATATGGTCTTCATATAATAGCTGTACTTAGAGTTGATGACTCAGGGATAATTGGAAATTAGGTCGTGAAGCTTAGATAAAAATGTGAACAGTGAGATGTTCTCTTTGATATCCACTTCCCTCCCATGTGCCATCCGTCCAGGAATGAGATTTCAAAATCCTCTCTGATTTCCTAACATATCTTTTGCCTTAATATGTGACAAAAAATATTAAAAATGGAGAAATTATTTTTTGAAATCAGTGCTGGGTTCTTAAGGCAGCTCCTGTTTACTCTAAAGAGCTCAAAGCAAGAAAAAAAAGGAAATTTTAGAGACCCTGCTACTGTTACTTTAGAAAAACTCTTGTCTTCCAGTTTCATGCACCTGAACTTGTGATAGGGAGAGCTCCATTTTCTGGTAAACCAAGAATGCCTGCACTGTTCAGCAGACTAGTGTTGGCTTTGATCATAAGTGGAGTCTGATATTACATATCATTAGTCAACTGCTAATCAAGGTGCTGATTATTGCTTCATTAAGTCTCATCTCCTTGACAATTTAATTTTCTTCTGAGCTTCAAATATAAGAGAGCAGTAGCATGGCTTTCAAGATTAAATTGACCTGTCTGAACTCTGAGAAGTTGAGCCAATTTTAATTTGACATGTTACTTAGCCTTTTCAAGAGAAAAATGTCAGTATTGGGCAAAAATAATAATGGAACTGTGAGACCTTCTGTCGGCTCAGGACCACAGATGAGATGACTGGACTTTTCTAGGTGAAATCACTGTTATATCTCCTCAGATCAAGTCTCATATATCTGTTAGCATTGCTGGCTTTCTCTTTGAGCCCTTTCCAAACATCAGTTCACAGTTAGTTTCTGAGTTATAGGGGCAAGTTAATGAAAAAAAAATTGTATTGTATTTGTTGTTGTTTTTTTCCCCTCCTGTCTATGTTTTTCTTTTTATAACAAAAATGATATATAAATATAATTCATTACATTTTCTATATTTTAACATGTCAATTCAACATTGCCTGCTTAATGAGCATTAAATACTTAATGCCTTAAAGTGATTTGCTATCTCTGTATAACCTATGAATAAAATCCATTGGATTTGATTTTGCAAGACAGGGCTGCAGTGTCATGAGTGTGGTAGTATGTGAGCATGGTGCCCTGAATTTGTAGTGGTTGCTGTCCTGAGTTTAGTGTTTTAGAAAGTATTCATGCATTTTATGGATGGTGTCTACAATTCAATCAAATTAATGCCTCAACAATGGCTTCTTTCCTCTGGGCAAAAGTGACTGACCTAACAAGAGTATACCTTCTGTATTAGTCCCTAAAGTCCTAGGCATAAAGTATTTGTTAGCACTAGCATATTTTTAATGCATCAGAATTTAGCGTGTCTAAATAATAAACAACTTGATTCATTAATTTTCACACACAGTTTATTGCAGGTTAACGCAGTCCTGTGTGTACACCCAATGCTAACATAAAGGTTTACCATAGCTCTTCTGGGTGTCACAATCTATGGTAGCTCTTTTTACCAGCGCACTGGCTCAGCTTGGAGGAAAATCTGTCTGTAAATCTTCTACTCTTCTGTGTTCTTACCAGAATGCAATAGGAAACCTTGATGAGGTTGCATTTACTGTATAGCCAGTCCTTTGGCACAACATGGATGAAATCTTTAGAGGTTGAATCACAAACATGCCTGGGCGCTGTCCAGGGTCCTCAAGGGAGCTGCCTGGAGCCCAGCAAGTTTGGGAACCAACAAATGAGAGATGTCCTGAGCCTAGCAAGTCTGAGAACTGAACCCCTTTGCCCCACCTCTACCCCCATCCCCATCTTTGCCCCACGATACATACACTCAACATCATCATCTTCATCATCTTTATAATTAAGGAATTGGTGCTCCTGAGAACCAACCTGCTGCAAAAGAATCTGGAAACATTTAATTAGGTATGTAATGCGATTTGTTTGTGTTCAATAACAAAGATATATGAATCCTCCCAAAATGATGTACCTTCTGCATTCTTTCTCTGATTATTTAGTTAGATTTTAAATTTCACCCTACTCCTTGGTGGGGATATCATGAGCAGTCCTCAGGAGTGCAAGAAGAAAACAACAGCTTCAAGATGCCACTCAGCAAAGGGATAAAGGGAGTTTTTGACTAGAGGCAGTGCTTCTTGGACCTTCATAAGGCTTAAAACCATGCATGCTTTTTTGCATACCTGTTAATTTTTAATATCTCCCTGATGAAACCCAAAATGACTCTGGCTTGTTTTCCAGGATAGCTGGGAAGCAGGGAACTGGGGAGACTGCTTCCTTCTCATGAGCTCTGCAAGAATGTGGCACCCCAGGGAGGGAGTAGGTGGAGGTAGTTTTAATAAGGAAAGGAAAGCAGGCCTACTCCCTCGGGCTGTGTGGGAAGGAAGGGATCTGGGGACCATGTGGGATGGAGAAGTAGTAGCTCCTGACATTGATAAATGATTCAGTTGAAAAGAAATAAACAAAGAACCTCTAACACCAGAGTAACATTATTATACTCTATGCCAGGGCAAGGAATTCTGTAGGTGGTAACTCCTTCTTGGATCTTGTCAAAGAGAAGTATGAGTTGGGACTCAGACAACTGAATTATAATACACTCATTTGCTGTTATGTTGCTCTAAGCCCTGAGAATAGTGTGACCATGAGTCAGGATAATAATTTTATCTTACCTTGTAGAGGTAAGAAGGAGAAAACATGCATATAGTCTCAAGGATGTGAAATTTTGAGTCTCTTTCTGTGCACGGGAGGGTGCAATATTCAAGGCTGCATAATGAAAGTGGTAATTTTCAGAGGAATTTGGAACAAATTTCCGTGAAATAGCAGTGCTATAGGAATTTATTTCATATGTAAAATGTCTTATAATTCACATGGAATAATGATGTGAAGAAAACTTTATTGTGCAATAGGTTTTGTGCAGAACTACTCTGTGGCATACTCTAGGTGAAAATTTCTTTCGGGAGTCTTTTACCTTTTTGATTCAGGTGAAATATAAGTGAAATTTAAAATGGTTATTACCAAATGATTTATGAGCCTTCATGCTCAGGGAAAATTATGGATTTTAACAATTAGAAAAAAAGTAAGTTATGTTACTCCTCACCTGAGGATATGTTTTTATTGATAGTGGAGAAAGAGAGGGAAAGAAAGAGAGAAACATCAATAGACATTGATTGGTTGCTTCCCGTAAACACTCCAACAATCTGGAATCCAACCAACAACCATTTTTTTTTTTGGTGTACAGGGATGCTCTAACCAACAGAACCACTAGGCCAGGGCAGAGAGAAAGTTATTTAAATTAACTTAAGTTTATCCACTTAAATTGCACTCATTTGTTTAAGCCATTATTGTATAATTTGAACTTTCTTCCACTCTTATAGCTAAAAAAAAAATCTCTTCTTGAGATTCTTATTTCATTTAAAAACAATTATTGTTTCCTTGGGCTAGAATGAATCATTCCCTTTCTTGTTCTTGAAGAAAAACCAATGGCTTAATGGTGGGAATAATTTGACAGGCTTTCTTCCTTAAATAGTTAGGAGAAGAATACCCTTTGCTATTTCTAGATATTCTGGATAATTGTGGTGACTTATAGCCATACCACCGATGGCTTTGTGTTACTTTCTGAGGGAAAAGCATCCTTTTTGGTGAGAAGTGAGCCCTGTCTTAGCACCTCTCACATTTCTCAGGGGAGGCCATGGGCAGTGGTAGAGCAGAGGCCCTACAGCGCAAAGAGGAAGCAGGAGATGTCTGGGAATTTCTGTTTTTCATCTCTGTGCAGTTTTCTTTCTATATCACAACAGGCAGGGTGGTTATAAAATAATGGTTTCTCCCCATTTCCTCCCCTTCACCCTCAATAAATTGTTGTTCCAGCAATAAAGATGCTGTAGGTTTATTTTGTGGCTGCATGTGCCCTAGACAAGCCATTCAGTACCCCCAAGGTCTACACTCAACCACGTAGAGAAATGTGGCCTTGGGGGAGCCCAACCCTATTTAAATCCCAGTTGTACCTTTCAGGGCTTTAGGCTGCCAGTTGGTCTGGATCTGTCCAGGTAAACCACATATCTTATTACAGATATTAATCTCTCTGAATTATTTGCCATCTGCGGTGACAAATGGTTCTGGGCCTTGCTGTCTTCTCTCAGAACCATTCTTCCTCTTTCCATCACTGGACCAGCACTAGAGCTTCAATTTGCTAAGCCATCCACTTTCTCTTTGACCTTTCCCATTGGATTTTCTTTCTGAAATGTTTTTGTAAATGCCTTTAGTGCTCACTCATTCCATTGGCTTTTTTTTTTTTCTGTTAGATTTCGGCCTTCTCCATCTTGCAGCATTTCCACTGTTGATGGTGAACCATTATATCAGGTCGTTTGGATAGGTTATGCTGTAGCAGCAATACCTCCGTGGCTGTATTTCTCACTTAGAAAAATGTGAATGGGAGATGCACCTCATGTTCCCTTCACTCTATGACCTATGGTGGAGAAGTAACCCCGGTCTGGAATAGCCCAGGGCTCACGGGGAGGAAGAGAGTTGATACGACTATGATGCTCAGAAGCCGCCTGCCACGCCACTTCCCCTCACATGTCAAGCCCCACAGCCATGCTTAATATGAATGGGGAGGAATGTCCAATCCTCCCCAAAACAGATCTGGAAGAAAGATGCAGTGTAGATGTGACAAGAATAAAATACCCCAGAGCCATCACTTTTCAAAATTTTGTGTATTCAGAATCTAGCACAGTGCCGGTCACATTATACATATTTAGTAGCAGAAAGACCTCTTTCTTTCTTCCCCAAATTCTGACATTTTGTACTGATGTTTCGGACCTTGGCCTGACTCTTCATCCTCTATCTTTACAGGTGTTTATCATCAGCCTTTTCTCTTTATTCTCCTCCTCCTTTCCCTACAGTTTCCCACTGCACTTTGATGTTTTGGAAATCCAACCCGGGTTGTTGTTGTTGTTATTATTATTATTATCATCATCATCATCATCGTCTAGCTTATGGCAATTTGCCTGCATGCCCCCTACTGGGGATTGAGCCTGTGACTCAGGCATGTGTCCTGACTGGGAATGGAACCAGAGACCTCTTGGTTCCTGGGTCGATGCTCAACGCCTGGGCCACACCAGCCCGGCTCCACATACTTATGTTCGTTCAAGAATGAGCCCCTGGCAATAATGATTCTGACACTTACTGATTTGTACATGTTTCAATGCAAAATAGAGACAGAGTGGTCAGCATCTCTCTGTTTGTGTGTTTTCCAGGCAGAGGGCACCAGGCTTCAGCGGGAACTCCGAGGATATTTAGCAGCGATCAAAGGTAACGTGTGTGCATGTGTTGTTTACGGAATGTTACAAGCACAGGTTGTTCTTGGAATTCATGAGTGACAAGATGGAGAGTTAATTACAACACCATTTGGCTTTCTGGCAAGATGGCACTTGATCACAGGTGTTCCAGTCCACCCACTCCCAGATTCCCATTGGCGTGATCATCATCTGCATGTGCAAAGAGAAAAAAAATACAGGGCATCCCCCAAAATGTATACACACTTCCACAGCTGATAGCTCAATTCTGAGAATGAAATGCATTTTAATAAACACTGCCTTTATAATTATTCAACGTGTGTGTACACATATTTGGGAACACTCTATATGTCTGCCCTGATGCTGGAAACCAGGAATAAAGCCTCCCACATACAAGAGATTTCTAGGAAGAGCTGTGAGAGCAAGCTCGAGAACTTAAGAAAAGCTGCAGCTGGTTTACACCCTGAGGGAGAGCATGTCCCAGGAGAACACTCACAGAGACACACACACTTCAGCCCTCTAGTTCTGCGGTCGCCAAACTTTCAGACCTGAAGGACCACCAGTGCTTCCCGCACCATCAGCTGGTGACTGCTGCTCTAGTTGAAAGGAGAAAGAAACGTGGCAGAGACAGGTGTGGAGAATTATCAGGAGTCACAGCCCTGGACTGTCTGTGGTGAGTGGAAACCAGCCACACCTGTACCCTGCCACTGTATGGGGACAGAAAGGCACTGGCATTGGTTTCTGCTTCAGCCATAGGAAGCAAAGAAATGAGGCCCGTGGTTAAGAGAGGAGAGAGCATTAGGGATGAGGGTTCCATTGCTTCCTGCCGTGTGTCATACAGCCCCCAGCACGGGGGCAGTTCCTAGTGAACCCACGGGTGTAATAGATCACAAGGCAGATTTTGAGATTAGTGGGGAGAGAATGGATTGTCTCAAGGGGTATTGGATAAACTGGCTAAACACTCAGAAAAAAGTGAGATTCCCATCCTCGTACTCCCTTCTTCTTAACTCCAAACATAGTTAAAATGTAAATACATGTACAAAGAGGTATACTAAAATAATAAGTAAGATAAAATAAAATAAAATAAAATAAAATAAAATAAAATAAAATAAAATAAAATAAAATAAAATAAAATAAAATAAAATAAACTTAGTCTCTAGTCTTGGGTGATGAGGTCTTTACCATGGTAACCAAAAGACAAAAAAACATAAAGGAAAAGACTGAGAGATTTAACCTCATAAATATATAAAACTGATATATGTATGTTTAAAAAAATTTTAGGCAAAACATTTAATGAAAATGAACCAAAATATAAAGATGAATTGTTTGAAAAAATTATAGAGGTGTAAATAAAACCAAAAGGAAGGTGATTTCATGTTTAAAAACATTAAATGAAAATGAAACATAATACCTAACATCAGCAAAGCTGTAGGGAGCAGAGTCCTTTCTGAAAATGAAATGCATTTTAATAAACACTGCATTTATTAAAATGAGAGCAGTTTGGCAAAAGTTTTTTTTTTAAATTAATCCTCACCAAAGGATATTTTTCCCATTAAATTTTAGAGAGAGTGGAAGGGAAGGATGGAGAGGGGACAGAGAGAGGGAGGGAGGGAGGGAGAAAGGGAGGGAAGGAGGGAGGAAAAGAGGGAGGGAGAGAGACATCAACATCTATTTGGGAGAGACACGTTGATTGGTTACCTCTCACACACGTTAGGTAACAAACCTGCAAGCCAGGTAATGCCCTTGACTGGGACTTGAACCTGAAACCCTTTAGTGCATGGTATGATGCTTCAACCAACCACGCCACCCAGCCAAGGCTGACATTAGCCTTGGTTTACATTTGCAAAAAAGTGAAGCTCGGAGAATTTTACTTCCACAAACTTACAAACTTCATGATTCACTGCATTCAATAATTAACCTCAACTATTATTAGAATACTCCAGTCAGAAAATAGAGGCACTCTATGTATTTCTTTAATTATTGATTTAGGATTAGATTAGATAATATTTCAAACACAGAATTTTTTCCTGTTAGCCAGTTTTGTAAAAGGCGGAATAGTTTGTTCATTGAGTGAATTGGATCTCTTCCTCAGATTTTATATATTTTGGTGTAGTTTAACACTTTGTGGAGAATGCTGTTTAAGAAGACTGGCATAATTCTTTTCCTAATAGGTGGTCTATTAGGTTTAGTAATAATTAATGTCGTTTTCTAATACTTTTTTAAATCGAATTTATTTAAACAATATAACAAAATTTAATCAACAATATAGTTGCCGTTGTTTTCTACTACTTGTGCCCAACGCTCAGGAAGCATTTTAATCCCTCTGTTGTAAAATACTTGCGATTTTGATGCAAAAAATTCGGTCAATGCATTTTTGAGGCATTCTTCATTATTAAATTTTTTTCCAAGAAGAAAGTTTTGCAAAGAACGAAACAAATGGTAATCGGAAGGGGCAATATCAGGAGAATATACAGGTTGAGGGAGAACTTCCCATTCCAACTGGCGCAGTTTTTCAGCAGTGATTCTTGCAGTATGCGGTCGTGCGTTATCGTGGTGAAGAAATACGCCCTTCCGATTAATCAGCGCGGGTTCTTTTTCTCTTAAAGCTTGGGCTAACCTTTCCAATTGGGCACTATACACTGCACTTGTAATGGTTTGGCTAGATGGTAAAAGTTCATAATGAAGAATTCCTTTAAAATTCCACCAAACACACAACATCACTTTTTTCACATGCAAGTCAGGTTTTGGCGTGGGCTGCGGAGCCTCATTTTTGTCCAACCATTGAGGCCGCCTTTTCAAATTAACATACAGCACCCATTTTTCATCTCCGGTAACAATTTGCTCTCAAAACGGCAAACGGTTTTGACGAGAGAGGAGCGAACTGCAAATTGTGACTCTTTGATTACGGTTGTTGTCGGTCAACTCATGAGGAACCCATTTTCCAAACTTTTGGACTTTGCCAAGTGCACGCAATTGATTGGAAATTGTTTTTTGTGAACAATTTAAAGTTGTCGCAAGCTCTTGTTGGGTAATTTGAGGATTTTGCACCAAAAGAGCTTGAAGAGCTTCTTGATCAAAATTGGACACACGGCCTCGACCACTCTTGTCATCTAACGAAAAATTTCCCTCGCGAAATTTCTCAAACCAACGCTGGCATTTTCTGGCGCTAACTGCATCTTGACCAAGAGCACTACAGATGTTTTTTGCAGCCTCACTTGCTTTTCTTCCTAATTGGAACTCGTAAAGCATGCAGTGCCGAATATGCTCTTCATCCGCCATCTTCTTAGCCCTAGTTTTGCAACAAAAACCAAACCAAACACAAACTTTTTCAAGCAAAACTTGTTAATTGCACTTCACACGTTCTGTAGATACCACGTGTTTGAAGGTTATGTCAATACAAGTCAACGCCAAGCAAGATTTTAAACGAATGTTTAAAAACGACATTAATTATTACTAGACCAAATAGAAGGAAAATCCCTTAGTGAAAGGTTAGCTCAGAGAGACACTGGGGGGATCATCCAAGCAACCTCTCACTCCACTGCTAATGGCAGTGAAAGGACCTCTGTATTCCCCCATCACCTTTTACTGACTGGATGATGTTAGCAAGTGGAACCCCACAAACGAGATTCAGGTACATTACTTTGACCAAGATTGACTGTAATGAAATTTTAAACAGGTTACTCCGAGTTTATCAGAACCCTCAATGTATCAGTGTAATTGCCAGAAGGCCTAAGGGAGTAAGCGGCATTTCCCAGTTATTTGACTGTGGGATACTTTTTTTCTTTGCAAAATCTTAGCAAGTTAGAATTCCTTGGAGCACATTTTGGGGTTTTGGGAGCACAATAAATGATGAGGGGTTTTGGTAAGTAGATCACAGTTTGCATTTTCAGAGTGCTTTCCTGGCCAGTTTTTCTGTTTCCACAGAAAGAACTCGAGCCACCTCATGCTGCAGGCAGGATTGTAGAGGAACGAGATCTGGCCCTGGAGAGTGAGGGGCCCTGGGTCTAGTGTCAGGATCAATCGTGGGAAAATCACTGAGCCTCTCTGCTGCTTTGGTTTCCTCATCTGTAAAGTCCTCCACTTGTTCTTCGAAGCCCCCAAATCTCCACCTCTGGGATTTTGTGAAATTGGGTGAAGCTCTACTCATCATCACTAATCTTGGGTGGCATCCTTGGGCTTTTTAAGGTGGATCTTATGCTCTCATTCACGTTAGCAGTGTTCGAGATGATGGAGATGAGAGATGAACAAGACACAGCCTGCTGTTGGGGAGCTTGCAGTCGAGATGGAACAAACAGAAAGGCAGATGTGCACTGTAACAGGCGCTGTAATGGAATTGTGCGTTGTGTGCTGTTCTGTGAAGAGGCTGCGTAGCCAGTGGCACCCAGATGCTGGAGGAGCCCAGAGACCCAGGAACCAGGCAGACACGTCCAGCTTGTGGACTTAGAGAGTTTGACAAGGAACTTGTATAGTGAAACGGGTCCCGGGTGGTGGCAGGACATTCCCATCTCTGCCTCTTCCATCTTCCAGACCACCCTCTTTTGTTCTGCCTCAAGGTGGGGCTAGGTATGAAAGGAGTGTGTGGGGTTAGGGTGAACGAAGGAGGGAGATAACATTGGCGCTCCTTGCCCCAGAGGAAGTAGTCGTGGGAATTCTGACTAGCCCTAAACCACTGTACACATTCCGGGGTCCACTCAGGGGTCAAAAGTTAGGGCTCCGTCACTTAATATTAAGCTGGTGTATTAGATCCCAGACAGACTCAGTTTTGCAAAATGGAGTCAGCTCTCTCCACCTATGTGCCATCCCCAAAGAGGGCAGTGCCCCACTCTACTATGCAAGGGACAGGATGCCAGGCCAGGGATTGTCTTTCCTAGGAACTTACACTTGAATGGACCAAGAAAGAGAACATACCTGGTCATCGGGTTATAAGCTATACCAAAGAAAGAGGTTGCTATTGGAAGGAGCATCCTGGACAAAAGCTCAGGAAGCAGGAGGGAGCATGGGCTCTTGAGGGAACAAGGAGATTAGTGAGGGGGAAGCAAGAAACAGCTGCGTGAGAAGCGGGAAGGTAGGCAGCATACATACAAAGAGGCGCTAATGTATTGCATTATCCTGGGAGTTTATTCTGCATGTGGGAGAGAGTGTCATTACATTATTACAGGCAAGGGAACGCGTGACATGATCAGGTTAGCATTTTAGAAAAATAATGATTGTGGTTGTTTGGAAGTCAGGCTAGAGGAAATGGAACTCCAAGGAGTTTAGCTCAATAAGATTAATAGCCAACATTTACTGAGCTATGTGTGCCAGGCACTAACATAAGCTTTAACTGCGTAGTGTCACGTGATTCTCACTGCAACCTATGGCAAGTCCTGTTATTGCTTAGTAATGTACACTTTGGAAAAAGAGATTTGGGGTCATTAGGTAATTTGCCTAAGATTACACAGATGGTGTATGATGGAACCAAGATTTTAATAAAGGCTGATTGATTGCAAATAACAATCTTAATTACTATGCCATACTGCTTCCAAAAGTAGTTTTTAGGAAGGCTGGCATTTGACCGTTTGCAGTGTGTTAGGTACTTGCTGGACCGTTTGCATGGATTATTTTACCTCATCTAAGTAATGGATGATGGGTGCCTCTTGAGGGCTGCGGCCGTGGGCCTGGAAGGAAGAGACTTCACCTGAGAATCAGGCAGAATTGGCTTGTCTTGCTGACAAATTCCGTGTAGGAGGATGCATGGGAGGGGACTTCCAGTTTCCTAACTGGGACCACTGGGCTCTATTCATGAGGATGGGGAAGAGGAGGAGCAGGTTTTGACAGGAAAGTCAGAGGTGCTGGTGGGACCTCCAGGTGGACATGCCCGGCAGAGATTCGGTAGGTGGAGGAGGAGGCCAGACACAGAACAATGAACACAGAGCATCTTTCTCTAAGGAGAGTGTGACCCACGTGGTGTAATGAATTGTATGTGCCTTAGGTGTCAGCATGACCTCAGCAGTAGAGTTGGCTGTTCTTGAGCTGCTTACAACCTGGGTATTTTTCCTCCACTTACCTCTTCTCCTCCACCACTTGACACTCCAAAGACTTCCTTTTACTTGAGGCAACCCCTGTCTTCTTAAACAACTCTCTTCTAAACAATGGGTAAAACTTGCAGTATTTCAGCTATTCTGTTGGTGGTTTATAGCTTCTGTTGATTATTGTAATAATACATTTTAACTGATTTGTTTTTAACTAACACATATACCCTCAGGCAGCTTACGCAAAGAGGACTCATGTAGCAGTGTAATCTATGCAACGTATCTTTGGTGACAAAGAGAGATTCACAGATTTGGCTGCAAATGTAAATAGAGATTGTTACAACAAATGTCTTGGAGAAAGTCCAAAATTCTGAAGAGGGAAGTAGTCCCTATCTAATAGTAAAACAGAATTCTCCTATGAAAATCACAAATCTTCTGCTTTAGTGTTGACAAATCACATTAAAGGAAACAGGTTTTAGGTTTGTTCCTCTTACATCTGTCAGCAGAGTAAATCCTGAGTCCCTGAAGTCTCCCTGTCCGTCTCTTGGTTCCTTAAGAGCAAGGTGTGTGTCCTGTTCACTTGCACATCCACCCAGCACTTTGTCTAGAGTGTTCTAGAAACAGTTTCCATGTCAAAACAGATTCTTTCCACATTATCCATCCCTACTGAGCCACACAGCAATTAGTAGTTACTTTAGGCTGCTAGACACATTTACTGCAACATTTTGCTTTGGACCTCAATGAGTAAGGTCACGTGAGTTTTATTTTAAGCTCCCATTCACAGTTTTATTTTTACCACAAAGGTTATTTGTCCTGTGATACCATTATTTCTTTTTCTTCCTGCTAAGGCATTAATAACGTGTCTGACTAGCTATTTATAAGGAAAAAAACTTCAGAAGACTCTCAGGGGGTCATCCAGCACCTGACGTGGTATGAATTGCAGGGGCACATTGTTAGCACAGAGGCTTGTACTTAGGGAGGGGTGAGCGTGGAAACTGGAGCTCCTGTTGCTGCCGCCCTACCATGACCACACGTACAGGGGAGAGCATCCTCACGTGCTGGGGACCAACCAATGCCGCTGTGTGCGTGACTTTTGGCTTTTTGCACACCTATGAGACTCTCACTTCCTCCGAGTCCCCAGGACCTGGAGGCATCACTGTTTCTCCCCCTTGCCTGCCTGGGCTTCATCTTGTATGAAGGTGTTTCCACCTGTTGTCAAGGAATCCTTTCACAAGCTCAGTGAGGTGCTTCATGGAAAGGGGCATGGCCCTGGATCACATTCCAGCCAGTAATGTGCAAAGACCCATTAGGAATCTCCTTCTTTTCAGGGGGAGGAGAGTGGGGGTCATTTTGCACCCAGAGAGTGAAAAAGCACTACCGGCTACCAAATCACATGCTGACTTTTATACATCCTGTCCAAGGACGTACTTCTGTTGTTTCAGACATCTTCTTTTGTTTTGTTTTTCCTCTCACAGTTGAACCCAGAACGGACTCCCTGAAATCCAACCAGCATGCGGCTGAGTCTAGACGGCTGCCGCTTCCCGTTTAACAAAAGTTTTCTGTCTTTGGTTCACTGGCATTGTTATGAGATGTGTCTTTGCTTCCAATGACAGCACTGGCTCATCCTCTGCGCTCCCTCTACCCAGCCCCTTTTTCATGTCCCCTAAGGACAAAGGCCCAGGAACCAGCTCAGCCAGGTCACACCTTCTCCAAGTCTGCAGCCAAACATTGCCCCTTGTTTGTTCTCAGCTGGAGCTGTCTCCATGGCAACCCACACTTCACCTCCAGGTTTTAAAGGAGGGATAGAAAAGGTTTGGTGATTATTTATATCACCAGAAACTTTATATCTTTCCTATTATTAATAGCCAAATGTCTTTCTACTGAGGATTCTGACCCACCGAGATAAGAATGTTAAGCTTTCTGAGAGTTCTGATTTAAAACATGCTTTGGATGTTGCCAATAAAATTGGCACCATCTAACTGAGTCCAGCCGCCCAATTCTACATATAAAAATTTTACACTGAAAAAAAAAAGTACAATTGAAATTGAAGGGTGTTATGCCTCATTCGTCAATGTATAAAAAACTAAAACCTAAAGTTGTCTTTGTACAATCTAGTATTCTCTCACCAAAATTTTGCAATATTTTTATGACAATAATTTACCAGATCCATGTTCAAATAATTTTGAAACTTTCAAGGTAAAATTAATCCCACCAATGCCATGATCAGTGAAGAATGTGGCCTCTCAAAATTAAATGTGTTAAAACCAATGCAAAGTCCACAATCCCATAAGAAAGGGGACCAATCTGGTGATCCTTTCTGCAACCTATGAGCTATTAAAAACAAAAAATAAGCCTTAAAACGATCAAAACTAACCATTCCTACCAAGAAAATATGTGTATCTATCTTACAACAAATTATTAGATCCAAGTGCCTAATATTATAATTAAACATTTGAGTTTCCCATTATTTTTTAATAAATCATTTATTTGTATAATTTATATACAATTACTTTTTTTCCTGGTATTTGTTACTATTGAGAAATAAGTAATATAAGTTTTGTGTTAACCTGAGGAAGGGGTAGCTTCTTCAAATTTGTATAAAATGCCACACGGGCTGGTGGTAGCCTTAGTTTGGTAGTGTACTTAATAAAGAATAAAATGACAAAAAATAGTAAAACAATATATATAGATTTTAATAATATTGCAAAAATAAAACCTTTTGTTCTCCTTTGAAAATTGTTAGGCTACTTAAACCAATTTCAACTGTTATGTCCAAAAAACCTGTTGATTTTGCTTCTACCTGCTTCTAAAAAATGCTTTATTTCTTGTATTTAAAGTCATTTAAATTAATTTCATTTTAGGAACTCTAGTTTTATGGACCAGTATTCTAGGTGTCCTATTCATTTATGGTTCCATGCTGGTTGGCAATTGACAGCACACAAACAGGGCATATTATTATTGTTGTTGTTTTCAGAATAGGACACATGGTTGATATTGTCAGGACCCAATATCTATCATTATCACAGTAATAACAGAAAATGCTCACTGTAATCAGATAAATCTTATAGACCCTCAAGCAAAGATATAATTACAGATGCAGTTAGCAGTTGTGCCTTTACCATTTTTGCTTTAAATGATTAACAAAGATTTTTCTCTCACTTGGAAGGAGGAAGAAACTCCTCACCTATCTAACAGGAGTTGTTTTTCTCCAACACCAGGCATGCAAGAAGCCTCGATGAAGCTCACTGAGTCGCTGCATGAAGTCTATGAGCCTGATTGGTATGGGCGGGAAGATGTGAAGATGGTTGGCGAGGTAAGAGCCAGAACGGCCCCACACAGGAGGCCTCGGGGGGCTTCTGCGAGGCTCCTTCCGAGTGCTGCTCACTCAGCCTGTTCCTCAACCGCCTCTTACCTCTCCTCAGCCTTAATCATGAGGGGACAGACGCCAGGTACATTCACAGACACCATATACATATACTGTTATGTAACATCTCTGGACTTCGGTATTCTCTTTTGTGTAGTCATGGCAACAATAAGACTTTCCTCCTAAAGCTATTGTGAGAATTAGATGGCGACATGTGTACACATGCATACGTATTTAACCCAGTGATTTTCAATTGGTGCAATTGGTGTACCTCAATGGGTGGGCTGCAAGAATTTTGAAAACATGCAATATCTGACTATTTACTCAGAAGCACTGACCTTTTTTCCCTTAGACTTTGTTAAAAAAAAAATTAACAATAGCCAACACAATACTAGCCACCCTTTGTGAATGAATCAAAATTATACCTATTTTTTTGTTAGGTCAGCAAAAACATATATTTTTGGTGTGCCATAGGATTTTAATAATTTATGTGTGCCAAAAGATGAAATAGGTTGAAAATCACTGATTAAACCCAATGCCTATACATAGAAATAGTAGTAGGAATAATAATAACACCAAATATTCATTGTGTCTTTATCATGATTGGAAGGTGCTTTTCCATATGACTCTACGTCTTCTTTTCTCTCTGGGAAAGCTTCAGCAATGGTTTATTGCTTGTTTGAAGTGGTTTCTAATTTCCTAGAGGGCTTTGGAAGCCTTCTGTGTGCAATTCTTCACAGTCCCGAAGGGAAGTATGTGGGGTTCTACATTCTTTTTAATAAATATATTTTTACTGATTTTAGAGAGAAAGGGAGAGGGAGGGAGAGATAGAAGCATCAACGATGAGAGAGAATCATTGATTGGCTTCCTCCTGCACACCCCACACTGGGATGGAGCCTGCTAACCTGGGCATGTGCCCTGACTGGTTCATAGGCCAATAGTCAACCATTGAGCATTCTTTATTTTATTCTTTATAATTCAGCACCAGAAATACATTGGTTAATGAGCTAAACCTTTAAATAACCCATATTGTCATTAGAACTGGTAGCCAAACAGCCTAGAAAATGTATTATTAAAAAATCCACATTTTTTTTTAGCAGCTACTATCTGTGGGTATATTACTTATCTAATTTTTTAGTTTCATAATTTTTTGGAAGTTTAGTGAAAGGTATTCATTTATTTCTTTTTCTTTCAGAAATGTGATGTGCTATGGGAAGACTTCCATCAAAAACTAGTAGATGGGTCCCTGCTGACACTGGATACCTATCTGGGTCAATTTCCTGACATAAAGGTATTTTATTCGGTGTCTATCAAGCAAAGAAGCAAATGGTTCCATGTGCTTATTGAAACATGGGCAGGAGGAATCAAAGACAGTTGGTAACTTTTCATTTACTTATTGAGATTTTTATTCTGTCCTATCAGTTTGAAATAAAATGTAGTTACAAAATTCACATTTTCCTCTTTTGTTAACAGCCTCAGCTTTTCTCTATATAAATCTTTTTAATCATATAGATATCAAGTCAGAAATCATAGATTCCCACCAAATTTTAACCTTTTTTATTTTGAAAATGTTTTATATACCACTAGAGGCCTGTTGCACGATATTCGTGCATGGGATGGAAGGGGAGTCCCTCAGCCCAGCCTGTACCTTCTCCAATCTGGGACCCCTCAGGGGATGTCCGATTGCGTCTCACAATCCAGTATTGCTGGCTCCTAACGGCTCACCTGCTTACCTGCCTAATCACCCCTAACCACCTCTGCCAGCCTGCCTGATCACCTCTAACTGCTCCCCTGCTGGCCTGATCACCCCTAACTGCCTCTGCCTCTTCCTGCTCCCGAGACCCAGCATTCCCTCCTCTGGTAGCAGTCATCCAGGACCTGAGCTTCCCTTCCTCTGGCTGGCCGCAGGCACCCAGAACCTGAGGCGGCTTCACTGGGGCCAGCCGCAGCTGCAGGGGACTGTGGACAGGCAGGCAACTTTGCCTAGGCCACAGCCACAGGCTCTGGAACCCGGGACCATGGAGTGGATGGCTTGTCCCTGTATCTTGGAACAAGGTTGAAATAATCTCTCTCTCTTGCTGTAGCATACACATAGAGTTTCAGCCCAGATAGAAAATTGTGCAACCATTTCCTATGACAAATAGTTGAGGAAATAACAATATTTAACTTGGGAAGGAAACAATTTGGAACTGGAGAGTAGGGGAGAATAGCTGTTTCTAATACTTGAAAGAGTTTTCTTTAGTGAAAAGGAAGTTAGAAGTGGATACAGACTTAATTTCTTTAGAAAGTTAGTACCGAGTGATTATGGAATGAATGGGTTATTAATGGGAAGGAGGATTATGATTAAAAATACTGAGTGGAGAATTTTCACAGCATGAAACAGTTGACTTCCTTCCCTCCCATTAAAATCAACAGGCCATGTGTCTTAAAACTTCAGGCAAATTTCCAAATATTTACTGCAGCTCATCAGTGAGGTCTGTGGAGTACCATTCATGAGGGGATGTGTTTGACTTCTCCAACTGTGATTGGCAGGGCACCCAGTGTTATGGATCTTATTATGCAACATTAATGTCTGGAACCAATGTTGTCATAAGAGCCAGCTTGTCACTAACCCAGGCAGGCTTACAGCTGTGAGCAGTTATTGTAAAATGTAGTTTAGATTCTGTCTTAGCGACCAAGCATGAGCAACTAATTATATACTTACAGCATGATGCCATAATGAATCCCAAACTGGGGTAATTATAGACATTTTTAAAAAGCAATAAATTTTATTATTATTATTTTTTTTTTACTGCATAAGGTCAGTTCACAGTGGGAAATCTAAAGAAATTTAGATTGGATTGCATGGATGAAATAAGAATTGTATCATGTATAACAGTAAAAGCATAATATACTAATTAGACTGGACTTCCTTCTGGATGGCCTTCCAGACAACCTTCTGGATGAGGCTGCAGCAAGTGGGGGATGAGGCAGAGGCAGCTGCCTCCATAGAGGGGACCGAGCCCCAAGCCCCTTGCACGAATTTTATGCATCAGGACTCTAGTTTTCTATATAAAAGCTAAAGTGCACTAACTCTACCCTTACTTAGGAGATTTGCCTCTCCCCCCCCCCCCAAGTTTCCCAAATATTAGATAGATAAGGAAGTAAGATTGATTTGTTTTTCTAATGCAAAATTGTCTGCACCAAAATAAGGAATGGCCTTCAGCATAGTCACTTCTACAGGGTGAGTTGTACTCTGTAATTGACTTGTCACCCAAGAAAATGAGTCACATTATTTACTTCACTTCTTGTTTTGCACAGAATCTAAGATGACCCAGTGCACTATTTCATCTTATTCCCGGGCTTGGAAGTAATTGCATTTTGGCTGCTTTCGAAAATCTAATTCATCTTCAGAGAATCAAGGTTTTGCTTCTTGGAGCAAAGTCCACAAAGCAGAGCTTTATACACGTTTATCTGTCGTTACACAAGGTTACTGTTTCAAGGGACAGCTTTCCTTTGGTCTAACAGATATTTGCTAAAAATGATTAGCTTCTATCATCCCATAAGCCATTGTATCCACCATACTTTATTGAAGGGTTCCTTTCTACCCTGCCTGGGCTTATTCATCACATATCTTTAAGCAAATGTGGTGTGTCAAGCTGTACTTTCCACTACGAGCAGCAGCTGGAAATGGTTGGTACAGAGGCTAAAATGAAAGCGATTGGAATGAGAGAAACTGCCCCAGCCCGCCTCACCAGCCCTGAAGGGGGTGTAGAGGAATATCATAGAGTGCCAGGTGGTAATAATTGAATGACAGACTGCCAGAGAAACACGGGAGCTGGTAGAAGAAGTTCTACCAAGAGTTGGGAGTAGGTCTTGGACTGAATGAGGCAAGTGAGGCCATTAGGATTCAAAATTATGAGGAAGCACCTCTTCGTGGTTGGTGATCCTGCACTTACGTGATCCTGAGAATGAGAGCCGCTTAAAATTTGTGCCCCAGGTGTCTCACTTGCCTCACCCTCCTCTAGGCCCTGGTGGGGTAGGGGAGCTGCTATCTAATTTAGAATTTGGTACAAACTTCCTAAGCAATTCTGGACAAATTAGAGGTTGATATCTCTTCTCATGGGTTGTTACTTATTTCTTATGGGTCCTATTTCATAATTTTTTATTGAACGTTTTGCATCACACATAGAAAAGTAAAGATTGAAGTAATATTTATGACTTTTTTTGTCTGATAGTCAATCTAACTGTAACTTGAGCTGGGTCTGGGTTTTGTTGTCACTGTTGTTACTTTCCGTGCATTCTGGCTTTCAGAATCCTTTATGGGCTATCATGGGTGTTTGTGCTTGTGAAAACACCTGCTAGTATAATGTCTTCAGACTCTTAAGTTGAAGTCTAGTTTGTGCTTATTTTTTGACTCACATACTGTGAGTCCATGGCCACCAGAGAGTTTTTCTCAGCATTCCTACTCCCCATCAGATTTAAGTTGTCCTTTTATGCCTGCATTGCAGAGGGTATGTGGTCTTTTGCTATTGCTTTTCCTCCAGTGGTAGGCAACTATTGCTTGTTTTCAGTACTAGAGTTGCAGTGGGAGCAGGGCTGTTTTCTGTTATACTCTCGTGTCCTTGTGTTAGGTAGAATTTACCTAGTGCCTGTGATTGGTCTTGAGCAGTAATTTTCTGCCTCTGCCCTTGTGAGAACACCCCTCTGCTTGTTATAGGAGTTGTATCTTGGACTCAAGGAGATTTTATGTCCCTCCCACGTGGGTAGCCACTTACCCTCCGTGTAGCAATTACATCTGTAGGTATTCTAGGGGCCACAGGGGTTCTATCCTCTCACCAGAGCAAATTGGTTTTGCTTCTACGCATTAGAATCAGCAAATCTTCGCCTGGCCTCTGTGGGCGAGAGGATCTGTTGCTATCTTCTCCAACAGCTTAAAGCGTTTGCTCTTCTAAGAGAAAAAGGTCCCTGGAATCGGTTAGGGCTTTGTATCCACCCCCTAGCTGTCATATTAATAGATCCATCCCTCATTCTCCCTGCACTGTGAGGGAGTTTCTTGTCCTCCACCTTCTGACACATCCAGAGGAGGCCCAAGGAAAGAGTGCCCCTTAAATGCAATTTCCTCTTGTGTCTTGACACCCAACTATTCTAAACTACAGGTTAGCCCCCACTAAGCCTTTGATGATTTGTTAAAATTTTAGTTGACCTCTTCTTACCCATTTGCATCTAGGAGACAAACTTTACCTGTGCCCTGCCAAAGGTGAAATGGCTTGCATGTCTCCTTTCTCACTGGAGGGACTTGCCCCTCTTTAGAATTGAGATTACTTTATTGTCTGGTGACCTTAGGTCTCTGGTACAACCAAGAAAATTATGTTTTTATGTATTACCAGTTTTTTTCTTGTTTAGGTGGGAGGGATATTCTTTGCAGCTCTTTATGTGCTCACTGAGGATAGAAGTCTCTAGGAATCAATATATTTTTTAAGCTCCTGAGATGACTCCAATGAACAAACAGATGGAGGAACATGTCAAGAAAAAGGATTTTTTTTATTCCTAAGAATCTACTTTAGAGAACTGCTTTAAAAATCTGCTGTCTGTGTGAGTGTAATTAGAATTATATAAAGTCAAATCTACTATTTTGAAAATAGAACATTTAAAGATTTAAAATACAGGCGAATACTACTTCTAGAATTTTTCTGGCCTTCGACTATAAATTCTGCTTTCCACTCCTCATGACTAGTTTGATTTTTTATCAGAAGGGAAGACATTTACCTAATGGTTTCCACACAAATGATTGAAGGCAGTGGTCTGATTTCCACGGGTCACTTGTCTACTTAAATTCCAATTCACCTTGATCTCCAGCTAAGATCTCTGGACAAAGAAAGCATTTTAGCAGAAAAAAAAAAATCTTTGACCAGGTGTCTTTCTTAATGCACATATTTTCCTTCGGCAGAATCGCATCGCCAAGCGCAGCAGGAAGCTGGTTGACTATGACAGTGCCCGTCACCACCTGGAGGCTTTACAGAGCTCCAAGAGGAAGGATGAGAGTCGAATCTCTAAGGTAGGGATTGATCTTCCTGTTGAAACCATTCCATATTCCGTGACCTATAGCAACTGTGCTTTAAAAAATGAAATATTGTATTTCCTTTTTAAAAGCTATTGGAATCAGGACAGAATTTAAACTGAAACATGGTGCTTATGGGCTGCTTCCCATCATTTTTAGTTAACGATAAGGTTTTTGATGTTATTGTAGATTTCACCTGGGTGACACGACTCATACATTTTGATCAGAATAGACTTGGCCGCCCTCCCCCCCCCCCCCCCCAACAATGCTGTACGATGAGAGAAAGGAATGTGTCCCTGCGCTTTCTCTCTGTGTTTGTGCTCCACACTGGATGCTAAAATGCAGATACAGATAGGGAACTGAATTTGAAAATCTCAGACATATCTTGTGATTGAGAGTGCGGACAAGTGCTGGATTTGCATAGCATTCATTTTCTTTTAGGAAACCCATTTTAGTAACTTTACTAAATGTCAGTCATTTACAGATGCTGCTTAATTGATGGCATCTGATAACTACTCCCTTCTCTTCCGGTCTTGCTTCCTCCTATCTGCCTACACACAGCTGCCTGGTTTTCCTACAGCACAGATTTAGATATGTTTCTCATTGTTTAAGTCTTTTAATGGCTCCCATGGCCGGTAGAAAAAAATTAAATTGCTTAGCACAGCATGTGCGACCTTCTCTATTTGGTTGTGACTCATCCCTTTATCCTTATCAACTTCCATGAATTTTTTTTTTTTTTCCTCTCCGCTCCTTCTATGCACACATCCTGAGCTAGAGGCTCCATGATTTACATATCGGTTCCTGAGCAGCCACAATAACAGCTGTTCTTCATGGGAGGCCTCAGAGATACCAGCCACATGTTCAACACTTCATTTCCATCCCCTTTCCTTAATACTCCCACCTCCTGTCAGTGGGCATTACTGTCTCCATTTTATGAATGAGGTCGCTGAGGTAAAAAGTGATATGACAAATTCACAAGGTTAGTGCACTGAAATTCCAATCCACTGAACTCTACCTTTATGTATTGCAATGCTTTAGCCTCTCCCTTCTTCATTTCAATGTAATTTAGACTTCCCAGTAGACTGGGGATTTCTTGGGGGAGCATCCATATTTGCATCCAGAGCAGTGCGTAACAGGCCATTCTCACATTTTTATAGAATGAATGAATCTGCCAGAGGATGTAAGAGCACCCATTGTGTTTAATTCAGTTTTCCTAAAATTTCATATTTATTGAATAAAAATGTAGGTATTAAGCAGACTGTTTTTTCTTCTACCCAAAATATTTCCAGGATGTCATAAAGCTATTCCTATTTTATATTTAATTAGAGGCCCAGTGCATGAAATTCGTGCACAGGTAGGGTCTCTGGGCCTGGCTGGTGATCAGGGCCAATCGGGCCTTACAGCTGCTGGCTGGGGCTTTCCTTCCCTGGCTGCCGGCTGGGGCCTTCCTTCATTCCACACCACTCCCTGGTGATCAGCACATGTCATAGTGATGGATAGAACTCCTGATCTCCCGATCGAACTCCCGAGGGGACACTTTGCATATTAGCCTTTTGTATATATCGATGATTAAGTTGTGTATAGAAATGGCTTGTGTTATGCGATTTATTTATTTTTAGTGTAAATACAAGTTATGTGTCATTTCTAGGCAGAAGAGGAATTTCAGAAAGCACAGAAAGTGTTTGAAGAGTTTAACGTTGACTTGCAAGAGGAGTTACCATCGTTATGGTCAAGGTAAATACGTTTTTGTATAGGTTGTACCTGTTCCTTTTAGAAGTTTAAGAAGAGTAAATATATAGTGAACGTGCCATAACTTATATAATAAAAATAAAGTGGGGCTACTACCTCAAGAATAGTGAGGGAATATATAAAAAATACTGAGAAAGCTGCTCTCTCTCTGAGCTTTAATGATGATGAAACATTGGACTATTATACCTTTGCTTGCTGGAATCTTACACACCAGAAGGTACAGCTAAGCCATGAGAAGCCCCCTTCCTCTGCCCTCTCATCTCACTCTGTAAATCCTTTATTGTGTACAGGCACATTCCTATTTCCCAGCTAGTATTCTTACATAAACTTCCCGAGTACATGTTTAATCAATATATTATTTAGTATCTAAGTCCTTTCTTGCTCTTGATTGAGATTTGGAACCTAATGAACCAATTAGGATTCTGGGCTTATTTTTGATGATGTCAGTGAAACAGAAACTTTAATTAAATCAAACTGTAATTTACACAGATGGATTCAAAAGGATTGAATTAACCAGAGTCCAAAGAGCCCTCCTTCAGAGCAGAGGGAGCGTACACTGGGGCTGCTGGACTGAATCCTCGGGGCTGGCTAGTATGTTACTGTTAGGGAGCTAAATAGCCTAAGGGACTTTGCTCATGTCATAGGACACCTGCCTCCTCCCCTCAATGCCTTTGCTTCACCGAGAGGCTTGAGATATTTGTGAATGGACAACTTGTATTTTCATTTGTTCAATGAAAGCACACTCTGACTTTAGCTGAAGAATTGTAATTGATTTATAGGTCTTTTATTTTTATTTTTTCCGGTTACACAAATTTCAGAATCGAAATATACTAAAATCAGACCATTTACATTTGTAAAAATTAAAAATAAACTTCACGATCTCCAGACCTTTATGATACATATCTGAAATACAAGTAAATGCTTAGGTCAGTGGTTCTGAAGTGTTATTTCTGAACCATTGCCATCAACAGCACCTAGAGCTGGTTCGAAATGCCATTTCTTCACCCCCACCTCAGACCTGCTGAATCAGAAACAAATCTCCAGGTGACTCTGAAGCACCCTCGGGTGTGGGAACCATGTCTTAGGGTATCCACTGCATTTTAGGAGATGTGAGCTAGGCTGAAAAAATATTATTTTTGTTCATATATTTGATCAGGAACAGTTGAGCATACTTTGGGTTAAGTATTTTATTTAACCCAACGTATTCAAAATGACATAAATAAAACCTGTTTTAATACATGTCATTGCTATGGGTAAGTGGGAAGAGATCAACCAAAGGACTTTATGCATTTATGCATAACCCATGATCACAGACAGTAGGGTGAAGGCCTGGAGCTTGGAGCAGGGTCAGGTTAGAAGGGGTCAATAAAGGAATGGGGGGACATATGTAATACTTTCAACAATAAATATATATTTTTTAAATATAGTTTTGCTCACTGGTCTTTTCCTTCTATTCTTTCCTCTTTGCATCTCCACATGGTAGACGAGTTGGGTTCTATGTCAATACCTTCAAAAATGTCTCTAGCCTTGAGGCCAAATTCCATAAGGAAATTGCCGTGGTGAGTAATGATATGGAATATAAAGTAAATGAACACTTATTCTGGAAGCAAATGAAGTGGCATAACATTATACAAAGAATGTGTTCGCTTGCATGTTATTTTCAATTGTGTATTATTACTCTCGGTAATATTTCTACAAGTTTTTTGTTAACTCTGGTTAAGAAACATATTGAAAATTTTAAAAGTTTATTTGTGTTTGTGACATTTTTGACACAAATGCTAACTTTTCAATAAACCTTTTTTGGGAGGGGCAATAGCCGGAGTAGGCATCAAAATGATTTGCAGCTAACAGACAGGTGGCCTCTGTCCCCTTAGCTTTGCCACAAACTGTATGAAGTGATGACAAAACTGGGCGACCAGCATGCTGACAAGGCCTTCACTATCCAAGGTGCTCCCAGGTAGGCCTTGTTCATCAGAGCCACGTTCATGTCCATTCACCTCTAATGCAATGCTTGTTGTAAGTTCTGCAGTCTGTATCAGCCTATGCTGTTTTACTCATCCTATAAAGATCTAATATGAAGGAGCCTTCCCATATACCAGAGGCAGACACCAGCCTTACCTAATTCTATGCTTTCTTATATTTTAAAAAAATATATTTTTTTTATTGATTTCAGAAAGGAGGGGGAGACAGATGGAAATATCAGTGATGAGAGAGAATCATTGATTGGCTGCCTATTGCATACCACACCCTGGGGACTGAAACTTGGGCATGTGCCCTGACTGGGAATCGAACCCTGACCTCCTGTTAATAGGTTGATGCTCAACCACTGAGCCTCGCCAGCAGGGATGCTTTTTCACATTTACCTTCAGCCCGAGATTTGCCCATCATGGCCTTTTCTCATCTTCCCCATAGAATTGACTCTCTGCCTCTTGGCATTCCATGGGAAATGAGAGCAACGGTATAAAATTTAACATATGATTTCTAGTTGTGCACTTGTTCTTTCTTTGAAGAAAGGAATTCCCCAATCTCATAACCATTAACCCTGATATTTATCACTGGTGATGACGTATTTAAAGAATCCATTTTGAGAAAGGAAAGAGAAAGTAGGTGAGACCTCACCATCATCTTACCTCCTAACTTCACCTCCACAAACACTCCATTGCTTTGCTTGTATTGCGTATGATTATTTTGAGTGTGCCAATCAAGTACACCAAAGGCCCAGTGATCCACAGGCAAAGTATCGTTGTGGCCAGGGTTGTTTGTCTTTATACCAGCTTTCTCCTGTGATTTTGGAATCCCTTTTAATCTGTCCTTCACAGGCATTATATACTCAAAGAGTGCAGACATTGAGCTGGAAATCCAAAGATCCAGCTTTCAGTTTTGTGACTCTATATGCAGTTAACATGCATTGCCTTTTTTTCCCTTCATTTTTTAATTAAGCTATTATATGTGTACATATATTACCGATTCCCGCCCCTCCACCTCCCACTTCCATACATGCCCTTCTTAAGTCCAAGAGCCTCTCTGGTTAAAGATCTCATTTTTTTCAAGGGGGGAAAGATGCTACTGGAATAAGCAGTGTTAATAGGCAGTGTGACATTCTACATTTGCAATTTTAACATCAATGTATGCATCCATACAAATTACATTTATAGAAATACATATATTTCTATAAGTATGTAGAAATATATGAATACATATATTTCTAGAAATATATGCCCCACCATCTCCATCTGTCAGTGTGAGGTCTCTCTGAAGGAAGCTGATATTCTTATCTTTGCTCTTTACATCAGCTGTATTCATAGTCACTGTATGGCTTCTGTATGTACTAAGTGAGCATAAAGTGTATCTTCTCCTTCTAAGGGAAAGAATATTGCCTAAAAGAATGCATGAAATGGGTAGACCTACTATTTCCAGTATAGCTAGGAACAAAGTAAGAAGTAATATCAAAATGATATTTGGGTGTTTCAGAAATAAAATACATCAACCAAATGAAGGAGTTTTCCTTTATGGAGAGATGAAAGGAATAAATGCATCTGAAAACTTCTAACTTGATAAGTCAGATAAAATGGAGACAGTGGGGCCATGGTCACTTAACCAATGTTCCTATCGTTTTTTGTTATATGTTCCTCTGCAGAACCAGGTGGTGAGTGAGCTCAGTGGGATCTATCTCAGTAAAGCACAGAGTGGGGCGGGGCTTCCAGGCAGAGGCCGTGATTGCTGGCACATGGCCCAGTCCTGGGGCGTGGCCTTGCTCTCCCTGTAGCACCCATTCCCCTGTAGAGCACGCTGCTGCGTACATGCTCATGTAGTTTGGGATGCAGGTCCTGTTCCCTCAGCGATAGACTTTTGGAATTATTAGAGGCAAAATGTACCCCAAATGCCCTCTTAGTCATTACATTTGGGCTGTTCACAGCACCTGGCCTGGTGCCATGGATGTGGAGGGTTGTCAGTGAATATTTCTGACTCTGGCCCATCACATGATTCGTTTTCACATTTCCAGGTGTCTGAGCTGAGTCATTGCTCTTTAAGGCGTGGAAGCAGAAACAGTTAATGGAATTAATTTCCAAGTAATATCAGGAAGCACTCCTGTGAAATCTTAATGAACATCACCCTAAGGATGCCTTTTAACATAAAAGTTATACTTTTCAAGAAAAGTTTTTCTATAGATGATGACATTGCAAGATTCTCCCGTAAATCAACAGTGAAATTAGTTCACTCAGTTCAGCTTATGTTTGACAGATTCTCGCAGGACCTGGTTGGGTCAGTGGAAAGAACAAGGGTTGCATTAGTAAGGCCTGAATTCAGATCCAGTAAATTGCCAAGTAACTTTAGGAGTTTTTAGCCTTTCTGCGTGTGTATTGTGGTGATGAGAGATCATCTATGATCAGGGTCTGGCACACAGTGGTCAATAAATGGTACTAGTTATTACATCAACGTTCATAAGCATCAGGCTTAACCTGGAAGGGGAATAGATAAGTAATGGCTGTGATGGCTCAGGATTTCTCAGATAAACACTGCTCCTTAGAAGGCCCCTTGCTCACATCTCCTGTATTCGTTCATCTAGTGACTCGGGTCCTCTCCGCATCGCAAAGACACCGTCACCTCCCGAGGAGCCTTCACCCCTCCCGAGCCCGACAGCCAGTCCCAATCATACGCTGGCTCCTGCATCTCCCGCACCAGCACGGCCTCGGTCACCTTCTCAGGTAGGAAGAGATCAAATACATTGCTGCGACTAGAAGAGCGTCTGGTGAGGTGACCCATCTGGGATCGCCCTGGGGTGCTGGGGCATCGAGAGGAGTTTCTCATTGGGAGATTTGGAGGGGTGAAGCTTTAGGCATTGTGATTGTCACTAAGGAGTCAACTCATTTTTCAAATCATTGGATTTTTATTTCCTGTCACACCCTGTACCTGAGTGTTTATCTCAGGCTCTCCTACTCTCCTCTGCTCCCATCTCTTCCTTCATTTCCTAAAGCTCCGTGTAATCCTACATTCTCTGAGAAACCTCCTTCCAGTAACTCTTTAGGGGCAGTTTATTGACATGAAAAGCTCTTTTGTGTATATGTGATTTCACTTTAAAAAAATATATATATAGTTGGTTTCAGAAAGGAAGGAAGATGGAGAGCGAGATAGAAACTTCAATGATGAGAGAGAATGATTGATAGGCTGCCTCCTGCACTCCCAACCCTGAGGACTGAGCCTGCAACCCTGGCATGTGCCCTGACAGGGAATCGAACTATGACCTCCTGGTTCATAGGTTACGTTCAACCTTTGAGCCACACTGGCCAGGTTTCACCTTTTTTGTATCACCCGCCATATATTGTACATGAATAGACAGTCAATAAAAGTGTGGGAAGCAAATGATTGAAAGAAACAGTCAGGGCCAGCGAAAGGCAAACATAGAGAACATTTGCCACCCATTTCTTTCCTCCTTTGGATGAAAACGAAATTCCATTGAGAAATCTTGAAGTCTCTGGTGCAGTTCAAGCTTTCAAGTATATGGCTGAGAGGAAGTAAGTAGAATCCCAGGAAGATGTATGGAACAGATAGACCCTTAAAGTTCTTTGGAAAATATTGGAGTGGGAAATGAAATGCTTGCTGCCTGTACATAGTCTCACCGATTCCAGTGAAAAGCTTGCTTGACTGTAGTTTAAATTTTTTAAATTATTGCTGGGTTGAGAAGTCATATTCAGTTGCTTCAGAGAAGGTATGACCTTCTTTCAACCTGAGAGTCATAGGCACCTGCGTTGGTACTGTGTGTAGCTCTTGTGTTGAGGTGGATGGAGCATCAGAGCCCAAATTTTTTGATTGGGCCAGTGCTTGTCAGTGCTCACGGAGACACCCCAGCAGAGGGCATTGCTTGCCTTCATCAGGTAGGTTTGTTTCTATGTGCAGATCTGCATTTCGGTTAGTGATCTATCTGTCCTCCCAGCTCTGTTCACGCGAGATTTCTGCATGTCTCACATGTCATCTTTGGCTGAGTTACGTATTGCTTGTGTTTATTGCCTTACAGACGAGGAAAGGACCACCTGTCCCGCCTCTGCCTAAAGTCACCCCGACAAAGGAGCTGCAGCAGGAGAACATCATCAGTTTCTTTGAGGACAACTTTGTCCCAGAAATCAGCGTGACGACGCCTTCCCAGGTGAGTGGCTCGTGCAGCGGTGGGATGTTTATAAAGCAGCATGGCGGAGGGACTCTTGGGGCCAGCTCTAAAGGGAGTGGCAGAGCCCTAGACAGTTTGACTGCGTGGTTAGGGTGTCAGGACTGAAGGGTCTTAAGTTCATTTCCATCCAAGGGCACATACCTGGGTTGTAGGCATGATCTCCTGTCCTCGTCGGGGCATGTGCAGGAGCCAACCAACGGGAATCTCCCTCGCTCTCACAGAGATGTTTCTCTCCCTGTCTCTCCCCCTCCCGACCACTCTCTTTCTAAAAATCAATGGAAAAGATATCCTTGGGTGAGGATTCACAAAAAGAAAGAAAGTGGCAGATGTCAGGGCCAGCAATATAATTTCAGTTGCTTTTCAGGTTTGCTCATCTAAAGCATTTTCAAGTACTTGAAAATGCTCACATTATTTTTGTTTATTAAGATTATGTTTATTAAGATTATTTTTGTTTATTAAGATTTTGTTTATTAAGATTATTTTGTTTATTAAGATTATGTAGTACATACTTATTGCAGAAAATGGGAAAGTTCTGAAAAGTGTAAAATGAAGAATTCTAATAATCACTTAAAACATACCGCTCTGACTTAGTCACAAATATTCTTTGACTTATTTATTTTAATCTTTCCCCCCACCTCCCACTCGTTATATTTTTGCCCACAATACTTAAATTGTATTGTTATATACTCCTGACTTTTCTATGTAATCTCACTGAGTGTTTTTTTTTTTTCATGCCATAAGATTATCTTTTTTTTTTTAATAACCCTAACCCTAACCCTAACCCTAACCCTAACCCTAACCCTAACCCTAACCCTAACCCTTTTTTTAATAAAAAAAAAAATGTTTGACCAGCGTATTCTATCAGATGGATTTAGCAACCTGATTGTGATCACAGTTTGCTTTTGATTGTGACCACAGTTTGTTTTTGAATTTTCCAAGATTTCACCAGCACTTTGGTGAACATCAATATAAATGAATTCATGTTTGCACCTTTATTACTTCTTTTATATGATTTCCCTCTAAAGAATAGGAAAATGAAGTTAAAGAGGTGAACATTTAAAGTCTTTTGCCCTTCAGTGGGCTTTAATGTATCTATGCACAGGATTTGGCAAATGGAACCATCAGTGTTGCCCTGGGTTTCGAAGCACCTGGTGCCGGTGCTCCACCCCTGGCCACCCTTAGGGCACGGTAGACCTGTCTCTGCCAGGGGCTTGGCTGACCCCTTGTCTGGAGAATGGTCTTGACTTCCAGAGCTGCTCCTCCTGTCACCAAAGCCAGCTCTTTGTTTTAAGAGGGAACATCCCCAGTCATGCCAGTATCATTCCTCCCAGTGTTCTCAGGATCAGAAGTAATATTTACATTTTGCAAGATGTGTGAGTGCAAGACTTTAATGACTGAACACATCAATATCAACACTGCATACAACAGCTTAATGATAGTCACATAGAATAATAGAGGTAAAATACTGACATTAGGGGGTTCAGGAGATATTATAGAAAGCAGTGCAGTGGCAAATCATAATTTGTCATCTTTTGGGGGGCCATTTCTCAAGAGACACCATGATTTGGGCTGATTTTTTCCCTTCTTCTGTGTGAAATGCTGTTTTTGTGTGGGTTGTTGAATTTGGTAAGTTACCCAGGGTTTGAAATAAGATTGAGCAGGTCCTGTGAGGAGGGGGAATTGCATGTTTATTAGCACAAGGACAAATCATGCCTGTGGATACACAGATGCTGCCAGGAATAGCTGCCTGGAACCAAACCATCTTACTCAGCACCTGCTGGCACCAGACATTGCTAACAGCCCAGCTTCGTTCTCTGCTACAGTTTTCAGTCCAGAGTGTTTAGGGCAAAAGCATTCTTACTGTCATGTTGCTTTCACCTGGACCCTCTGAGAGCATCCCCCGAATTGTATCACAAAGGGAGAACATGGCCACCTAGATACCGTGGGTGCTCACCTAAGGACATCTCCATCAGCAGCCGAGGCCACTAACGTAGAGGAGACATAACACGTGGACCAGTCCTGAAATAAAGATGGGGTTCAAGCAGTTTGAAATGTGTTTATTTACAGTTTGCCGGCTCATAGATAAGGGTCCTTCATGGGGAGGAGGGGAAAACAGTCAAAGCAGTTTTTAAAATTACAAATCGCTGAAGAGGCTGCTAAGTACTTCTGAGAGCATGAACTCTCACTGGTATCGCTGAGTGAGTGTGCTAGGAAAAGTCAAGAGTTAGGAGAGAGGGACAGCAAGCACCTTTCAAAACAATCTCTTCCAGCCGCTGCTGCAGGGAGACCGTTGGCTGGTAGAGTACTTGCTGGCCTGGCCAGGCTTTGTGTTGACTGCGAAGCTGTTGGGAAGGGAGGGATCTTATCAATCTGCCAGGCGATTTTTTTTTTTTTTGCAAAAACTACCTACTGGGGACATTTGGGGGGGGGGGAGAGGTCAGTTTCCTTTATATGATTTTATTTTAACATGGGGAGGAAGCGGAAAGACATTTCTGTCATTTTTTTCTGAATCTGAGAAGCAGCATGGCTCTAGCAGGTGGACACATGGAAGCATTTCCATGGACTCAGTGGCTGTCAGTCTCGTGTCATGATGTCAAGAGAAGGAGTGAAGCAAAGTGTCATATTTCCATCTACTTTTTAGCTTCTTGAGTGAGATAATCTGGCTTTTTTAAAATTTTACAGGTGCTGACTTTCCATGAAGCATCCTAACAATTCCCTTCCTTGCTTGTTCCTTGGTAGATACAGATACAGCCATTTTGTGTTGCTTTCGCCATTTGGGTCCCATCCGGCAGTGTCTGATGTATCAGATCTGGGCTGAGGCCAAGCACCTGCTTTTCTAACAAGCTCCCGGGTGATGCTGACACTGCCGGTCTGAAGATCACATGTGAGAACCACTGTTTCACAGCATCGGGATTCCTTCCACATGATGCCATTTTGTGGCTGTGAACAAAGTACCACACAAATTAACAGATTTCTTCCAGGGCAAAAGTCAGCTGGGTCAAGTTGGACCATTTACAATTGTCTATTTAAATATAATGTGACTTTACATGTCCTATACCTGGAGCGGCTGGACTTATACACGTGTACATGTGTGCTTATGATATTAGGTACATTGATCAGATTACATGTCAAGTTAAATATTCTAAGTGAATGGATTATCTGATCAGAAAAATGATGTTTTTAGACATGCACAGAGAAATGATTCAAAAATAAACAGAAATCTCAGGAGAAAATGAGATGTCCGCTGCCAAGAAGCAGAGTAGTAAAGCTAGAAAGCTGAGATGTACTGAGAAGGTTTTCTCCGGACACATACATTCCATTCCTGTGATCTTCAGGTCATTATCCCTATTTCAGAGATGAGCAAATCTGTCATCTTTCTGCAACATTGTGGGGCTCCAGGGCAGACATAAACAGGCAACCTCTTTTTGCACTTTGTGTAATTCTATCAAATTACTCTTTGATATGAGTGTCTTAAGGTATAATCTCAAGATGAAGGGGAAAAAACAAAACAAATATACATTGAGCCTGAAAAAAATCAGCTATACATTTCAAAGACAGCCAAACTAGTATTATGGCTATTTGATAACACTTTTACATAGATATACATGATTACTAATAGTAATTAACTACATTAGCTTCCATTTCCATGTTGAATATATCCTATATTTTATGTACACTCTATTTGTTGTTTCTATCATTCATGGTAATCTTAATGGATAAAATTATTTTCATTGTATGTATGAAGCTCAATGAAGCTGAATTAATGGCTCAGAGAGAGACAACTACCCTGTTCCCCCCAAAATAAGACAGTGTCTTATATTAATTTTTGCTCCCAAAGATGCACTAGGTCTTATTTTCAGGGGATGTCTTATTTTTCCATAAAGAAGAATACGTTAAACATTTATTGTTAAATGAAAATAAAGAAAATTTATTACCTGTATATGGTTCGGTAGTACGGTAGTTGTCAACACAAACCAGACAAACTGTGAATCCTACAGTATCAAGAATTTACTCATTTATTCAATGACAATCATGTCATCGTCTTCTGGAACATCATCATAGCAATCCAATTCCTGAATTTCCTGGTGAATTTCTTGTGACTCCATTTCTTTCAGAAACAGTGGACCAAATCTCTCATGTTTAGCCTAGGGGGGGGCCTTATTTTCGGGGGATGCCTTATATTTCACTCAGAAGGAAACCTGTAAGTAGGTCTTATTTTCGGAGGATATCTTATTTTCGGGGAAACACGTTAGTAAGTGGTAAAATTGGGCTACAGATCCAAATTTATTTGTCTCAATCAATGGCTCAGCATAGCAATTGCAGTCTAGTGCCTCTTTCCACCCATGATCTCTAAATTCCCATTTGAGCCTCCTTAAGGGGCTCCATTAGATTCCTAAGGGACTTGGCTGTATTTGTGCAGCCTACAATCTTATGGAGGACTTACAGAGCATTGAGAATTCCTCTGCAGGTCTTGAGGATCCCTGTTTGAGAGAGGTGGGGGCGGATCTCAGGGGCAGCTTGGAAGAGCATGGGAGTCACAGGTATCTGACTGCTGTCCTGATCAGCAGCGTTGCAGATGGGGGACCCAGGGCCATATATAACTTCCTTCAGTTCAGTCTCCTCATCTTCAAATGGGAAAAAAAGATGCTATCTGTTCTTCGATTTTTTGTAATGATTAGATAAGCCAGGTAAGTTGCAGATTGGGGAAGAGGTTAAAGTAATTCTTTTAAGGCAATAGTGTTGTTGTCATCAGACTGCAGCAAAGTGCATGAACACAAGTTAGTTTTTTACCACAGGGTCTGTCTAGCACATTCTAAGTGTAATATGTGTTTTCAAAATGTTAAAAATGTAATTTATACCAGTATAAAAGTTGTGGCAAAACTCATGCAGACTTTGAATAGGGGCCAAGGGAATCAGTTGACAGTTTTGTGGCTGTAACTCGTAAAGAAAGAAGGATGGATCTCAGTAGAGCATTATCCTTGTGAAATTTAAAAAAGCATAAACGTGAGGAGTAATCATGCTGGAAAACAGATAACTCAAGAAAGAGCTCAAAATCAACACCATGATGTTTAAGCAGATTTTCTTCTACAATGAGTGTAAACTAAAAAATATACATACATTATCTGCTATGATCCCAAGTTTTCTATACATTCCTGAGTTAAATTATTTTGTGTTTATGACCAGTATTAATTAAAATAACTCCTGTTCTTTTAAGTTTTTCTCTAAACAGCTGTTCTTATATAATACTTTATCCATTGTTGTGATATTTCAGTTTTTAGACAACAGATGGTCAAAATTGAAGCTTATATAAAATATCAAACACATGTAACTTGAATTGTGTGAAAACAAATTTGAATTCTCTTTACCATGTCTAGTTTATGGAGACTTTATTTCAGTTCTGCCTCATACTGTGTAACTTGAGCTTGGGTTAGGCCAACTTCAATCTCACATTGTTTTTCCTATATCATGATACTATAATAAATGAACAAATGTTAATATTTCTTTCTATAAGTTTTTGCTATTATCATAGTAGGACTTTAGTTCTGTGTCCTATTTGACTTACTGTCTCTCTAATCCAAGAATGTTATTGGGCTAAGAGCTCATTTTGTGATGAACACTGATAGTCCAGAAAAACAATATTATGGATGAGGAATGGATACATGAAAACTAACTCTAGGGATAGAGTACCACTGAGGATGAGCCACTGAGGGTAGGGTACCCCTGAGGTGTGGTCACAGTAGACAATGATCCCTTCCTTCTTCCTTTTAAAATTTAGCTTCACAGGGGACATCATAGCAGTGAGTTACTGTGATAAGTTGATGCTTTGGCCCATTTTATCCATCTGATCATCTGTAATTATTGACCTGAGATGTAGGAACTAGCAGAAAAGAAGAGTCCTTAGGTCTTTATGGCAGTAGGGTAGATATCTCAGACATTCTCTTTGTTGGTTGAACTTGGAGCTGGCAAAGGACAGCAACTGAAACCTGAGCCACGTTTCTGGGCATCGCAGGTTTTACTTGGCCAGAGTTGGTTATTTCCCCTTTCATCACATTTAGCTAGTGTCTCTGGGAGCAAGTGGATGAGCCACCCTAAACGGTAAGCTACCACTGGAATATTAGCGAATATTAGAGGATTGTGTGGGTTGTTTGATGAAGTCTTATCAGATTCGAGCTGTGCATGTTTTGTTTTGTTTGAACAGAATGAAGTCCCTGAGGTGAAGAAGGAGGAGACTCTGTTGGATCTGGACTTCGATCCTTTCAAGCCTGACGTAGCCCCTGCAGGCTCTGCTGGAGTGACCCACTCCCCCATGTCTCAGGTATTAAGTGGTTTGTATGATGTTGGAGATGATATTCCATAAATTTTAATAAGCTTGGAAGAAAGGGTAAAATGGAAACTTTATCAATATCAGTTATTTTTAAAGCTCCCTCTACCATTAGCTTTCTCTGTCCATAGAGCTGGAATAACCATGCATTCCAGTTTGCCCAGGAGTCATCTATCTCAGAGTAATTATTCAGAGTCCCTTTGAGGGTTCTGTCTTGGTGGCTAAGAAAAACAGAAAATCATTCAGAATACTTCCTTCTCAGAGCCCTTGATGTGCAGACAGCCAGCAGAAATCATGGACTTCCTCTGCCTTACTCTCCAGTGTTCATTACTTTAGTGCAGAAAGGAAAGTTGTTCTGCAGTGGATGCTGTGATGGTTAGTGGGTGAGATCCCACAGCATTTCTATCTGCAAGTTTGAATCAAGAGACGCCTCTTTTTATATCAACTCATGATTATATGGATCCATAAGTTGTATAACTTTGTGTGGATCTATGACTAAGAGTCTTTCAGATTTTTTTTTTAAAAAAGGTAACCTTGGTTAAATCTTTAAAGTCTTGATTCTGGAGAAAAAGCATTACTGAAGCTTGGAAAGTTGCACAACTGCTCTGGCTTCCCGGCAGCCATCATGGAGTCACCACACTATGATCTAGCTCTAATCACATCTCTCCTCCTTTGCTAGAAGTCTTAGGCTGAGGTAACATCAAGAACACAGCTGCTCAATTCTGTTAGCCTTCTTTCCCCTTCACTCAAAGTGATCTCCATTACCCATCACCTGACCCCATGCTTTAAATCCATGTTCTTACTGCTAGCAGAACACCTCACCTTGTGACCTCTGCTGTGTGCACACAAGCGAACACCTCCTTTCATGATCCTGAGGCTTGATAAGCATGAGGTTTTACATTCCTGCCTTCCGTTGGAGAAAATACTGCGGCTGTCTGCATTGTGCTGTTAGGAGCTGTGATTCTTAAGAGGCTTTATAAAGCAAGAAAACATAAACCACCTGGATAATCAGAAAATGCTTATTAGATGCAAAGGAGTCCCTGAATTAATATCTGTGGTTTTCAGTGGAGCTGTTTGCTACTTCCCTCTCAGTCAGTGTAGAGTAGATACTAACCCAGACACCAACCAAGCTGTGCAGAGAGCAGGCTCACACCAAGCGGGTGGGTTCAGTCAGAACCACAGAACCCACGTTCTGTATGCAGATTCTAAAAGAGACATCTGGGGTCCCATCTGGAAACTGTCCTGTTCTTAAGATGGCAATGCCAGGCTCTCTAACTTGCTGATTCAAAACAAGTACATAAACATGGATTAGTTCTGGTTACAAAGGCATGAGCAGAAAAGACTGTGACTTAGCAATAATTCTCAATCACAGAGGACATCAGAAAAAGAGGTTTTTCTCCCTCCCCCCGCCCCCCCTTTCCCACACACACAGGGCAAGTCATTTTTAAAAATATTTTAATTGATTTCAGAAAGGAAGGCAGAAAGAGAGAGAGAGAGAGAAAAAAAAAAAACATCAATGATGAGAGAGAATCATTGACCGGCTGCCTCCTGCATGCTCTCTACTGGGGATAGAGCCTGCAACCTGGGCGCATGCTCTCTCTCTTTTTTTTTATTTAAATTCTTTATTGTTTAAAGTATTACATATGTCTCCTTTTCCCCCATTGACTTCTCCCCGGCCGCTCCCACTCCTTAGCACATGCCCTCACCCCACTACTGTCTGTGTCCATGGGTTATGCTTATATGCATGCTTATAAGTTTTTTGGTTGATATTTTACGTGTCCTGACCAGTATTGAACTCAGGACCCCAAACTGACTAGGGCAGGGCAAGCCATTTTTTGAACCATATGTTGAATAATAAATAATTTTTATATTTAAAATTCCAGTAGTAAGCATAATGAATCCATATGTTTGAGGATTATTTTCATGATTACCAATTACTTGAGCTATGTATTATCTAATTCAACATATTGAAGAACTACTTTTCTGGGGTTCATGTACCATCAAACTGATCAAAATGCCTCCTCTTCAGTTTGGTGTAAGGGAAAGAGGAACTAGCATTAGCAATAATTAGGATCTGCACATTTCCTCAAAGATGTGATCAACTGGCATCTAGATACCTTGTTTGCATCATTTAATTGTGTGTGTATATGTGTGTGTATTAAAGTAACCCCACTTGCCATGTTTCAGATACAGTTTCCTACTTGTATAGCAAGAGGCACGTTGGTAGAACTGTGCTATTCAATATGGGAGCACGAAGCACATTTGGCTGTCTAAATTTAAGTAAAATAAAATTGTGTAAAATGAAAAAAAAATGGTTCTGTGACACTAGCACATTTGAAGTTCACAGGAGCCACATGTGACTAGTGGTTACCATATTGGACAGCACAGGTAGGGAACACTGTTATCACCAAAGAGTGTCCTGTTGAACGGTGCTGTACTAAATACTTCAAAATGCTTATTGTTTTATTTCAAGAACATTTATCATCTCAGTAATTTTTACATGCTTGGGATTTGTACACTAACAGTATTTTTGTCTCTTTGCTTTCAGACACTGCCCTGGGACTTATGGACGGTAAGAGTACTAAGAATTCTACATGTTGATGTATCTGGGTCCCTGGGAATTTAGAAACCTTGTTATATTTTATTTCATCTGTAATAGAAAGAAAGCCCAAACATTTTAAGTAATGATGCAGTCCCCTGACGGTTCCAGGTATTATCAGCACCAGAAATAATGGTGAGGAAAGGGTGCCAGACTCCTGGATGAGCAAGAGTTTGAGATGCCCCTTTATGCTTCTTCCTGGGGTTATTGGTGGCCAGAAGAAGTGCTGTAGTGAAGGACATGCACATTTGTTATTGCTTATAGAACACAAGAGAAATATAAATGGGAAAATGTAAAGCAAATTAGGGAACAGTTTTCTTTTCTTTTTTCTTTTTTTCTTCACCTGAGGATATTTTCCCATTGATTTTTAGAGAGTGGAAGAGAGAGGAAAAGATAGAGAGAAATATTGATGTGAGAAAGACACATAGATTGGTTGCCTCCTGCATGAGCCCTGACCAGGCCCAGGCTGGGAAGGAGCCTGAAACTGAAGTACATGCTCTTGGCTGGAATCAAACCCCGGACCCTTTGGTCTGCAGGCTGACGTTCTATCCACCCAGCCAAATCAACTAGGGCCTCATTTTTTTTTTTAATGAAGCTTAACAATAAGAATTTGAGCTTCAGAGCCAGACAACCCTGGATTAGAGTCCAAACTCTACTACTGATAGCAATATGACTCTGAGCAGTTTCTAAAAGACTTCCAGCCTCAGCTTCTCTCATCTGTAAAGTAAGGGTAATGACACCTATTGCAGATTGTTATGTGAGGATTGAGAGAGATATCGTTTGTAGAATATTTAGCCCAGTGTCTGAATATACCAATACAAGGTAGAAGCACAAGAATACGTGCTTTCAGAATTCAGTGTTGAGGAAAAGATGCAAACAGGGCTTGAGGTGGCAGCCTCTGTGGTATGAAATTGAAGATTGGTTACACTCATACAGAGCCTCACATCGCTCAGGCTAGTCTTTGTCTGCCCTGTCTTAGAACAGCCCTGGTCATTTGGTCTTTAGAACTCAACTTGAGTTTCATGTTTTCTTTCTTTCTTTCTTTCTTTCTTTTTTTTTTTTAGTGATACAGGAACAGGAAAGGTTAGAAGATCCAGCTCTTCATGAGCTAGTGGTCTTTTGAAGTGGCTTTGCTACTTTCTTCCCTAAAAACAAAACCCTGGCTATCCCAGTCCCTGCCACAGGAGCAGGGTTATAATCTACATAGGATCCTTGAAGCATCATGGGAAGCTCTCAAGACAAGAGCTAAAAAAATGTTTGACTTGTATATTCACAAAAATGGATGCATGGATTGGCATTCGGGACATTTGAATTCTAGTTCCAACTTGGTGTTAATTTTCATGGAGAGTAAGAGGAAAATGCCACTTTTTTTTGTTATTCCAGTATTTTGTATCTTTAGTTGGAGCTATACCATATTTTTCTTTCCCTGCCTGAAAAGGATATGGTGAGGGGGGAAGTATCATCCACGATGAATATTATTTTAGAGGGCAAACCTGCTAGAAATGGTAGAACTGACAAGATTGGGAAATAATAGCTCCCTGGACATTATCACGCCATTTCTGGATCCTCTCCGCTCCCCAGTGTTGTTTCTTTGCATCCAGACAAAGCTCCTAAGATGAGGGGAGAATCTGAAGACAATCTGCCAGGCAGTCAGAGTAGCTAGTATCAGATTATCCTCCATCCAAAACCCACCTCAAAGGCAGAACCAAGTGCAGGCTGGTTGGGGAACCAGACTTTACTCTGGTATTGTGTCAGAGCAGACGGTAGTGGGTAATTTTGTGGTTGCTAGAGCTTGCTGCTGTTCTCATGCTTATTTATGTGAAACTTTGTATTTCAGAGTCTGCTAGAGCAATAGCTATAAAACACTGTTGATACTAGAAAATTGCAGAGGCTTTCTGTATGTTTTAGTTGTATAATCTTCACAGTTTTGGGACCGAGTTCATTCCTATCACAAAATAAGTTATAAAATTTCATCTCAAACCAGTGAAAACCACAGCCATTAGCAAAACATAGACTCTGGAGAGCATGGGATTTTAATGTATGAGCAAATGTTTTTCTCTTGCCTTACGATTTGCATTATTATTTTTTTTTTTTTACTCATGCAGACAAGCACTGATTTGGTCCAGCCGGTAGGTAAATATCCAGAAAATTCTGGATTTTTAAAAATTGAATATGTATTGTATACATGGTATATTATCTAAAATGAGCTTTGTTTTCTTTTCTTGTGGCATTGTCAGTCACAGATTTAACCTTAAGCCACTTGTTTAATGTAATACTCTCTAGTTTTGTTTAACTGGTGCTACCCTACTAAAGAACTTTGTGTTTCTCATCAACTCTTACCATGATCTGTTTCATCTTGTGTTCTTTTTTTCCTTTGCTGTTCTGCGTACTCTAAAGACTGACTCTTCAAAAAGTCTTTCCTTGTGTAACCTGATCATGGAGGAAACTCCAGAGAGGGGGTTGGCCGAAGAAATTCAAAGATCTCAGATTGACCTAGGCTCATTTTCTTGGGGCCCTCATGCTAGTTCAGAAAGATTCAGCCAGAAAACGACCTTCGCTGTGTCTCAGGAAGACTCTGCATGTCTCTCTGAAGCAGAGCAAGACATGGGATTACCCATCGGGATGTTTCCTTCGGCTGATGGGCACACTGTAGCCGAACAGGGTGAGCATGTCCCAGGGCCAGCCCCTCCACGTGGAGATGAACAACTATCCCCAAAGCCCATGCCTGAGGCCGAATGTGCCATTGTTGCTTGTGTGGAGACGGAGCAGCCTTATGACTTACCTGACTCAGAGATGCCAGCCATGGAAACTGGTGGCTTCGTCAAAGAAAGTCAAGAAGATCTTAAAAAGTCAGAAGAAGAGGAAGAGAAAGAGAAGACAGAAGATTCTATGTGGGCAGGTGTGGAGACATGTGGAAAGGTAGACATTGGAGCTATTGCTATCAAGATACTAGAAGGTACAGAGGGATGTGAAGAGAAAGTGTGTGAAAGTACAGGAAGCGGGGTAGTTTATCTTCTTAAGACAATAGGAAAACAGGACCAGGAGACCTTAAAAATCAGTGAAGAGGAAACTAGGAACGATCTAAGAGTTAGGTGTAAGGAAATTGTAAAGACCAATGAAAGGTATTTTGAGAACATTGACATATCAGAAAAAGACATGGCAGATGAATTTACTGACAGAGACAAAGTGCTAAATGAGAGGATTCAAGTAATAACAAGTAATTGTGAAATTATAGAAGGCTCTGTAGGCAAGATTCAAGATTGTTTGAATCTGCCTCTCCAGACAGACTCTATGCCTAATATTGAAGATGCCAGCCCTGAGGGATGGGATTTATCTAGAAAAGATATAAAGAAAAATGTAGTAGGTCCTCCTAACTATGCTATGATATATCATTCAGCACAGGGGGGTACAGATGCTGAAGAGATTCAATGTGAGCCTGTGTTACATGCACCTGAAGATGACAGGGATAGAAATCAGGCTGCTTATTTATCAATGAAACATGAATTCGCAGCTTGCACTAGGACAGATCTTAATTATGCTCTGGAGATGAATGCAAACAGAAGAGACTGGTGTTTGTGTAAGGCAGAAGACTCATTAATAGAGGGGTCTGCAAGTACAGTAACTTGGAACTGTAGTCATACCATTAATTTGCCACAAATCGTGAAAACAGACTCTTGGGAAACAGATCCAGGTCAAACCTTGCAGCCGGCTTTGGATTCAGCAATAAATAATATGGATATATTGGAATTCTCTGGTAGACCAGATGGACAAGCAAGTGGATTTGCCAGTTGTCTTGATTCTTTTAACCACTGGCTTATCAGTGATATGGGAGGCTTAGATAATTGCTGGGAACATTTAGATACTACTATAGTTGAGAGCAAGAAAGAGCTGGAGGTGGACTTAAAGGCAGATGTATGTGAGGGACAAGCCATTGATAGCTGCTGGGAACAAAGCCAAGAAAAAGTTAGACTTTTGTCTCTGGGAACCTCCCAGAATGTTAGCACCGAGAGTTCTGCTAGTCCCCAAGATGATGGCACCAGCAACTCAGATTTATCTGAAGATGAAATTGCTAATCAGAGATATGGATTGTTGTACCAAGAAATTGGGGCTGATAAAGAAGAGGTACTTACCCAGTGTGTAGTGTAGACTAGACAAAGACTTCTGTAGGTTCTATTTTTCCTAATGTTTCCCTCCCACTTCATTGTCCATCACTGTCTTCTCTGAGGCCTGCCTATCTCCCTGACAGACTATCATTCTTGTACCTCTTACCTCCTGAAATCTGTGCAAACCAAACACAAATAGGTTGACCAAAGAAAGAAAGAGCACTAGCTGGTTTGGCTCAGTGAATAGAGCATCATTCTGCAGATGGAATGGTCTTGGGTTTGATTTATGACAAGGGCAATGGCTCAGGTTGTGGGCTGGATCCCCAGTAGAGGGCATGCAGGAGGCAGCCAATAAATGATTCCTCTTATCATTGATATTTCTATCTCTCTCTCCCTCTCCCTTCCTCTCTAAAATCAATAAAAATATATTTTAAGAGAAAGAAAATAAGAGAAAGAACAAGAAAAAAAGAATGATTATGTTGGAATTAATGAAAATCTGTTTATCCATTTATTCTGTTTATTTTTTATTTTTACTGTTCAATTATGAAAAATATGTAGATCATACTAACTACTATTTCTAAGTGGTTACCTCAATAAGTACACATGAAATGTTTCTATCCAAGCCTACTAAAACTGTAGAATTTAGGTGTCAAAAAAATCTAACAAAATGATGTGTTAGAAAAATACTAAAAATGCTTCTTTTAGATTCTATCACTAGCCTGGAAAAAAGGAGCTATTTAATCCCTTATGGCTCTTCTCCAGAATAATCTCATTATTAAGCAAGTGGGTTTTTGTTAGCACTGAGCCATACATTAACAGTAATTATACAAATGCCTTTCTTTTCTTTTTCTTTTGGTCAGCCTATTTAAAATAATACAGTTCAGCCTTTTTACATTTCCTAAGCACTTATACCTCTTGTATTATTTTAAAAATTATGGAAGTCATTATTTTCCAACTTATCTAATGGACATTCACTGATTCTACAAAATTAATGAAAAAATAATGTGCTCTGATTTCTATTTCTGTTTAGGCTTCTGATGGTTCATTTAATGGATTCACCCAGGTAAGAAATCAACTTGCTGGCAAAATCTATCATTGAGAATAATGCAGATTTTTAAAACAAGGACCTTAGTGTCACTGGTATAGCATAATGATTGTGTCAGCACAAAATTTCACTAATTACAAATTTAGTAATGGAAACAGTAGTATTCTCAGCATTGTACAGGTGTTTTGACTATTAAATGGGATAGTCCAATAGCCTAGCACATATTGAGTCTTTCATGACTGTAGTTAGCTATTATTAATGACTAGAGGGCCAGTGCATGAAATTCATGCATGGGGGTTTTGGGGTGTGTGTCCCTCAGCCCAGCCCGCACCCTTTCCAATCTGGGATCCTTCAAGAGATGTCTGACTGCCCATTCAAGATCGGGCCTAAATGGATAGTCAGACATCTTTGACCACATGGGGGCAGCCATCTTTTGTGTTGGAGCGATAGTCAATTTGCATATTACCTCTTTAGTATATAGGATTAGCCATACTGTGGGCTCCTGCCTTCTACTGATTCCTCTACTAGAAACTAGAAGTTGTCCTGATCTGAGAGATCCACTAGATTCAACTGTTTGAAAAGAGGAGATGAGATTCTTTTGAACTGATTAAATTGGTCCAGAAAAATATACATTTTAGGAGCCTTTTTGTAAAGATTCATATGAAACATAGTATACAGAACCATCCCTCTTCAGTAGTTCTCCAGAAAGGAGCAAGTGGAAGATCAGCTATCATAGGTTGACTCTCCAAGGCAGTATTTTCCTTGCAAATCCATGGGATAGGAGCCACAAGATGGATGGTCCCATTCACCGTATATGTCCTGACAGATGCACAGCTGTAACCCACATAAAAGGCAGACCAGATGGCTATGGAGCTCATGGATTAAGGTCTGGAAACCTTGAAGGGAAACTTCAAACAGAAGCTTGTCTGTGATCAGTACTTTGTCTCAGAATATTAGACATGAAAATTTTCAAATTTTAACATTTAGAATTTCTTGATTCAAAAGTTTGATTACTTTCCCCCATGTTACCTATAAAAAGATAAAACCCACTCACACACACCCACACCAAAATACAGATACAGACAAACATAGAGAAAGGATTGTGTATCTCTTCCATCTGCATAAAACTCTTAAAAGTTTGAGTCATAAGAATTATTCATTTCTCATTTAAAAATTTTTATTTTTATCAGTTATAACTTAAAGAGTACAAAATTTTATGAGGGATTTTTTTCTTTTTTAAATATTTTTATTGATTTTAGAGAGGAAGGGAGAGGTTTAGAGAGAGAGAAACATCAATGATGAGAGAGAATCATTGATCGACTACTCCCACATGCCCCTTGAGGATTGAGCGCACAACCTGGGCATGTGCCCTGACCAGGAATCAAGCTTTGATCTCCCAGGCCACATAGGTTGATGCTAACCACTGAGCCATACAAGTTGGGCTAGAAGATTTTTTTATTTAAAAACTTCTGATCATCACATTCCCTCTCCATTTCCTGTTTCTTAGAGGTAAATATTTCACATTTTTTAGAACAGATTCTCTGGTTTCACATCCTCCATCCCCTCCTCCTCCCCATATGGATGCATGGCTTTCTTATAATGCTACTCTTTGATTTCTAAAGCATTATCTATTGACTCATTTCTCTGGAAGGTAAGGACATAAAAGCACTTTCATCCTCCTACCTTCAGAGTTCTCCTCTCCCCTCTGCTTCATGTCCTTCCTCTGATATTGTTCTGCCACAGTCATCTGGACAATCTGTGGCAATATTATAATTAAAATATAAATGCTATTAGTGCCCAAATCTTGAAGTTTTTAAGTTATGGTTCATCATTAACCTGTAGAAGTCACACTTAGGTAAGACAATAAGATTGCCTTTCCAACATTTAAAGTTTTAAATGTGTGGTTCAGAGCCACTAAATTCTAAGTCAGTAAAGATGTCCAGAGGACAGGCTGGAGACCAAAGACACCCTGAGGACACTGCCCTTTACTTAATGTCTCTCGTGATAGCCTCATCTTCTGCTAGCTCAGATTTATGTTTAAAATAAATATAAATTTATATTTATATTTATTAAAATTACTCTTCATTTTTTTGTTTTTCTGACTATAATACCAGTACAAAGAGACTTTTAAAAACTTTATGTGGGGCCGGTTAGCTCAGTTGGTTAGAGCGTGGTGCTAAAAACTTTATAGTGTGCTTATTGACACAGTTGATGAAAACTAATTTAAATAATATCTTTGTTATTATTTTTTTAACACATTAGCTAGAACCTTAATACTTTTAATATTGAATTTTCTCCTTAATTTTCAGCCCCAGGACACTTCATTATTCACAATGCAGACAGACCAGAATATAATCTGTAACTTGGTAAGTTGATTTTGGTTTGTGTTTTGGGAAAGTTCATAGTTACTACCGAATGTTCTAAGTTGATAAATCTAAGTCATCTAGAGCTTGAATATTCAGAATGTAGTTTCTACAGCCCCTCTTTTCTAGGAAATAGGAAGGAAGGCTTCTGAAAAATCTCAGTGTGACTTTGAATGTTACTGCTTCTATTTATAAAGGCACAGAGATTGCACAAATCCGGTCTCCTAATTATGAGCTTCAGTGGGACGCTATCAGTCCATCAAGAACATGGATGTTTCCGCGTGAATATAACTTAAACAACAGGATTGAAAATGAAATCAACTCAGGAATTCATGTTTCACAATAGATCATTGCTTTTTCTTGAACCTGAAGTTACCTCATTTCTTATCTCCTATCTTTTTGTGAATTGTAGAAGTAATGCATAGTAGAGATGTGATTCCTGCTTTGACAAGAGATGAGGTGACAGAAAAGATTAGCTAGAGAGTGAGTAGGAAGCAGTTACTCTTGATATTTGAGGAAATCCTACATGATGGATGTTGCAGTGAGCATTTCTAGCTCAGTAATAAAGTTAAATGAAGAAACTTGAGTTATATCACTTGTTTCTCATCGATACTCTACAGGGAATTTTGCATCTTTGAGGATTAGTGCACCGGGCTATTTGTAGCTCACTGGTTTTCCAAGGAAAAAAGTGTATAATTATTCCAGCTCCTGGCTTTTACACTGGGAGCTTGGAATTGGGTTTGAGTAGAATGAATTTTTTGTTTTAGATTATTATACTTCTAAGTAAGGAATTCTGTTCTGAGAAGTTTGTCATAACAGTTCATTTGATATGTTTTCAAAGGCAAGTGTGTCCCTAATAGGATTGTCATACTTCTGCTTTTTGGGTAACCAAATGAAACGTAGAGTCTGTGTGGCTTTCAAATAAAGACTGAAATATTTAAAATACAAATTACATTGGTGTTAATAATGGTACCAGAAAGACTCATGTTTTATGTTTATTGGTGGTTCTCAGCCTGGGTGATGATACTGATACTGGAGGATGAGATTTTTCACTGTCAGTTGTGAATGAATTAAGAAAAATGGGGGAAATATTGGTATAAAGGAAAGACAATGCATCATAAACTTACATCTATTACTTTGATTCCCAGCTGGTGTAGCTCAGTTGTTGAGCTTCAATCTATGAACCTGGAGGTCATGGTTCAATTCTCAGTCATGGCACATGCCTGAATTGTGGGTTTGATCCCCAGTAGTGGGTATGCAGGAGGCAGCTGATCAATGAGTCTTATCATTGATGTTTCTATCTCTCTCTCCCTCTCTCTTCCTCTCTGAAATCAATAAAACTATTTTTTAAATTAAAAAAAAGGCCAGTCATAGAATCCAGTGGTTTTTAATTTTCTCTGAGCATCTTCCTACTGCCAACAGCTGACCAAGTAGCTTCTTGCCCCTTTCCCTGCTCTTGACATGTAGTCTCTGAAGCAGGTATCTTGCACTTTCTTTCCACTGGGAAACCCAGCTTGTCATGCCCAGCGTTGCATGTGCTGCAGGCACTGGCTCTCCCTGTGGGAAACTAGGAAAGCACAGTGAACCTGCATCTCCTGGTGAGATGTGATTACACAGGATGTTCCCAGGAGCAGGACAGGTTCCCAACATTTGGTCATTGACTGTTCCGAGCAAGGTGGAGATTGAAGTTGGTAGTCAGTGGCACCCCTTCCAAAGCCTGCATTGCACAGCCCCACAGAGCATTCTTTGAGATGTTGGTTTCAACTCTTGGAATCTGTCCACTTTGCCAGGGGCTCAGAATTACCTCCTTGGTTCTTTGCAGTTCTCACCACATTAGTTCTCCCAAGATTGGAGAAGTAAGACTAGAAGACAAATGACATATTGGAATGTGACTAGACTCTTAGGCCCACTCTTTGTTCCATCCCTCTTCCTCTGCATTGACTCACCTTCCATCTTCTCACAGAGGAGATCAGAAGGCGTGGGCCAAGTTTACACTACTAGTTTTGTTCTACAAGAATATTTCCATTTCTGAGACTCTGAATTCAAGCATTGTGGCATTCTGCTGTCATAATAAATGTGAAGAGTATCCTCTCTTCTCATGTATGATGATGGCTAATTGAGGAAATGATAGGAAATCATTACCAGTGCTCCTAACTGGGGAGAGCAAGGATTCAACCCATTTGCAATGTCTGTCACAGGATGCAGCCTTACGAAAAAGGGGTTGAACATGGGCACGATTCTAAAGACTGTTTTAGATCTTTTTCTGAGATATCATTCCCAATTTGCCTGGGTTTTCCTTTCTATCTTGACAAAATATTTACAATTTTACATTACCTTAGAAGGAATCTAAGGGCAACTTGTGTTTCCAAAGTTGAGTAGCTGATTTTATGTACAATCGTGTTGTATCCTGTTTCACCCTTACTCATCATTCGGTGAGTTATAATCACTTACTCCCCTGAAATTTAGGTGTTGAGTGGCAATGCTGTGTTGTAATACCCGGTGTGACATCATAGGGGAAATGTGACTTGTGGAGATATGTTTGGTTCTCTGTCCTCTTCACGATATACCCCTATTGCATTGTTTGACCTCAGCAAGCAAATGCAATTCGACTCGTTTATACTAGTAAACTCATCCTACTTACCTTGCCTTACACAAAACATCAAAACTACTTCAGACTTCCAAGAAACCCAGGCTCTGATGCAAATCGTTTATTCATTTTAAGCTATCTTAACTTTTATTTTTAAGGCACATGGTACATATTTAACTCGTCTTTTGAAACTTCTCTTGGCTCTGTAAAGGGCTTCAGACTTATTCATCTCATAGAATCAGCTCCCGGGCACAGCCCATCTGCATGTGGATCGCTTGGTGGTTTGTCAGGTCACCCTGCCTGTCCTTCATGTGTAGGCCATTGGATAGCATGCTCTCAAAGAAAATCATCTTGACTTACAGTATCTGCTCTATGCAATCTTGTTCCATTATGAAGATAATTCTTTTGAGAGAAATCTTTTCCCATAAAGAACTTCTGAGTGTTTATTAGTTGAATTTTATTTTACTCTCTCATAAAAATTGTATCAGAATGCCTCTGAAAAACACATAAAATATCACATTTCTGCACACTTATCTACCAATGTGTCCTTCCTTTTATTCTGCCCTTTAAAGAGAAAGACATTGTGATCTGGCATGCATCAAAGTAGAGGATGTGGTGGGGACCAAAAGACAAATAGCTTGTTTATCTAACACTAAGCTATTCATTATTCATTTCCTCTGATCTCAGCATAACTTCCCCATCACTTCCCTGTGGAACTTGTCTTGATGAGCTTAGGTGGGGGCATAGAACTAAAGGTGACCTTTGATTGCTTATGGTGAGTATCTGACAGAGTAACTGATTTCTCCACTCAGAGTACTAATGGTGACTTCTTGGTCCTCTAAAAAACACTCTAAAACTCTTACAGTTTAAATGTTTTGATGGAAAAAAAAATCTTAATGTGCCCTCAACTGGCCACCCATGCAGTCAAAAAGAGTCCTACTAAATAAATATGCTTATTTATATTAATCAGAATTGAAAAGGAGAACATTTTCAGTAGCCATAGTAACATGCATTGGCTGTGGTGTTTTGAATGGCCCATTATTATTTAATATTGTTAATTTTAAAACCAAAGCAGTCTAGAGCTGAGAGACTGTAGGAGCTGGAATCAGGATGATGTCTATGCATAGATGTCTATGCAACCGGGATGAAAACCTCCCTGTTGGCCACACAATTAGAAAAGTCTAATTGATACCACGGAGATTACTATCATGTGTATGTTAATGCATTTGGATTTACATGTTGGGATGACTGCTCAATTTTCTGGTGTAACACCTATCGGTAGGTTGGGAGGTCCCAGAACTGTGTGTGCCCTGTGAGCTTTTCCTCACTTCTTCCAGCTAGCAATGGTGGCTCCAAAGACATATCTCTCTCTCTCTCTCTCTCTCTCTCTCTCTCTCTCTCTCTCTCTCTCTCTGTCTTTCTCCTCTCTCTAGCACTCTAGCATCTCTTATAGATGCCATAGAAAGTCAGTAGCCAAAATGTTGTAAGTAAAATGAATACCCAAAATGGTAAGTCTAAGGTGATGGTAAAAAAAAAAAAAAAAAAAAAAGAGGTTGGCAGTGTCCATTCCTAGATTTTCCAGTTCTGTAAAGGCTTATGATGCCAAGTGTAGGGCTTTTTCCCAGCACCGATTTGGTGAAGCTAGTTGCCTGCGGGATGATGAAGGAAGTCTTAATTGTCCAATATTCTGTACTGTTCTCTATTCATGTGTTACATCTTTTTCCTCTAACCCTCAAAACAAACTGAAAGGCTGAGTCTGAACAGGCTCCACCAACAGAGCCGAAAGCAGAGGAGCCCCTGGCCGCAGCACCTGCTGAGGACACCCAGGCTGAGGAGCCAGAGGGGGCAGTGGTGAGCACCACCTCCCTCCCACCCACCACTAGCAACCCAGCCACAGCCATGCTCATCTCATGATCCCATTTCTCCCTCTCATCCATGTTTCATTTGAGCTAAATCACCTCCATACCCGACATGTCTCCATGGGTTCAAATAACCTTTGTTCCTTTGACATTAATTAGTAGAAAAATAAACACTAGGGCAAGATAGTGATGGGAAATACAAATGAAGAATGACTCAAGAAACATAATTTTATTTTCCATTGAAAGACATAGACTGGACCAAGTCCTGGAGGAGAAACAGAAATGCCTTCTGCTAGACTGAGTTCTTCCTGGAGTGCCTCTGGCCGGACTTAGACTGGGGAGTGCTAACTCCCTGCTTCTGAACTGTCACTCTCAGAATCACAGAGATCTCAGTAACCCAATGCCCATGGCGCATTTTCACCTGGTGCCAGAATAGGACTTTGTCCACCCACCTTAGCCTTAACAGAGGAAGGGAAAGACACAGTTGGATTTTTTTTAAACTATGGTTTAATTAAGAAGAGAATTGATTTTAAACATTCTATGGAGCCTGGTTGGTGTGGTTCAGTGTTTGAGCATCAACCTATGAACCAGAAGGCCACGGTTCGATTCCCAGTGAGGGCATATGCCCAGGTGGTGGGCTCGATCCCCAATAAGGGGTGTGCAGGAGGCAGCTGACCAATGGTTCTCTCTCATCATTGATGTTTCTGTCTCTCCCTCTCCTTTCCTCTCTGAACTCAATAATATATATTAAAGCATATGGATGATACCAGAGACATAAGGAGATGTTGGATAGGTTCAGATATTGATTTATAAATTACTTCAATTTTGAAAAGTTCTCATTAAATCTTTATTTTGAATAGCAGCCCAGACTTCATCTTCACCTGTGCTTTTAAACCACATTGATCCCATGCCCCAGACTATTGGATATAAGGCTTACTATTTATAATGCCCATGATTTTGTACAAGGGTATTTGATGTTGTGCAATAGACTGGAGATGTGAAATAGACAAGTCCGTGTGTTAAATACAAGCTTGACAGTCGATTCTTCATGATCCCATCTCTCACCCATCCTAAGTTTTTGTTTTCTCATAATCCAAGTTCATTGTTTTCCCAAAACATAGTATTAGTAGCTACCAGGTATCTACTATATCATACTGACTATTATATAAAGATCTATAAACTTTTTAACCATGGGTGATAGTTAAAATATTTAATAAACTTTATGGTATAACCATCACTAAAACCAGCTTCCCTAATGTTTGGTACAGAGATGTTTGGAAGAATTCTTCATTCTTAAAAATCTTATCCCCTATAGATAGGTGAACTTCAGAAAAATAAACATCTTAGATTCCTTGGGAAGTACAAGGCAAACTGGAAAGTCGTATGAGTGATTCAGGCACCTGCTGAAACTCAGAGATGCTGTAAGAACAGCACATACAGAGCTCACTATGTGAACCACCCTCTCCAAAGAGAAAATGCTTATTTTTTTATCCTTGTATCGACTGAAAACTAATAAAAGGGGGCAGCTTACAGCAGTTCAATTTTCCTAAGCTCATTAAAAATGACTCTCTTCCCTGTTTTTAAAATTGGCATCCTTGGATGAAGTCAATTCTTCCTCATGTTCTCTCTTCTACTTAAGAAAGTAACATTACATAGAATGTATTTTTGTTCTCTAATGTAGACTTACAGCTTTGTCTGGCCACAGTAACAGAAGGTACATTAAAAACTATTTTTTCTAAGGAAGGTCTCTTCCATTGCTAGATGTGTGATGTTTGGTTATAAAACCATAAAAATCTCCACTGTGTCCCAAGCATTAATTAAGAGGCTGGCTGTGGCTGTCATTAGTCAGGATTGGATTGGCTTGGCCTTTCGAGGTCATCCTTTTTGCTGCTGAAATGTCACCACGCAGTTATTACTTTGAGTCTTGACAGAATTCGTTTTATGTAAGGTGAAGTTTGTGGGTTTTTTTTTTTTTTTTTTTTTTTTTTTTGAGGCAAATGTAATTTCAAACACAGGAAATTTTAGCAGTGGTTCTCAAAGAACCAGGGGCTTTCAAGAAAAGGTTAGTTATTACATTTGTGTTTGTTGTTTTATTCCTCCAACAGCTGACATTGTCTCTAGTTTGTCCTACAAAAACATGTTACCGTTGTACCTGCACGAATGCATGTTAAAAACCGACACTTGCTACTTCTCCAGAGGGTTCCACATTCTAGAAGCAATGACCCCCCCTCCCCCGTTGAGGTGGTTCTTACTGGTTACTTCAATTACCAGTCCTTGCTCAGTCTCCATCTCTTGAGTTTGCCTTGACTTCAAACGCACATCAACTTTTCCTACACACTTCTCCCACACACTTTGCAAATAGGTCCCCAGTGAAAAGGTTTAATGTTTTAATACATGTTGTTATTAGCTATTCTTCCATGACCTTAAAGGCCAGAATAACCAAAAATTCACTACCTGTGGCATTTCTGCAGCATATTTTAATTTTTTAAGAAGGTCTGGAGTTAATGCTGACAGATGTTGCCATGACAACACTGCTGCCAGCAGCAGAGTTGTGCTGGGATCTGGCTGCTGCGGGTTTATGATGGGGCTGCAGGCCATACCAGGAAAATAGATTGAAAAAGATGATTGAGATGAAGGTCAGGAGGGGGGAAATATCCACAAAGTTTCTTATTAGAAATGAAGCGCATAGATGTACCAAATGAAGTGTGTCATAGGAGGTTCTTTGAAAGGAACGCCAGTGGAGGCCAGTGTTTCCTGGGAGAGCTCACCCTCTGGTCACACTGAAGGAAAATTATGGCCTTCGGTGCTTTAAATACAGTGCTCATGGAGAGGAGGTCTAGCTGCCAGCCTGTTTTTATTTATTTAATTATTTATTTATTTAATTTTTTAAATTAAATTATTATCTGTGGACATATTTTAACATTGCCCCCCTCCTCCCATAAATATCCTCCCTCCCCAGAGTTTTGTGTCCATTGGTTATACTGATATGCATGTATACAAGTCCTTCGGTTGATCTCTTATTTCCCCCAGATCTCCCTATACCTCCCGGCTGTAATTTGACAGTCTGCTTGTTGCTTTACTGTCTTTATATCTGTCTTTTGGTTCATCAGTTTATAATGTTCTTTAATATCCATAAATGAGTGAGGTCATTTCATTGACTGGCTTATTTCACTCAGCATGATGTTCTCTAATTCTATCCAGGTTGCTGCAAATGATGAGAATTCCTTCTTTTTTATGGCAGCATAGTATTCCATTGTGTAGATGTACCATAGTTTTTGATCCAATCATCTGCTGACGGGCACCTAAGCTGTTTCCAAATTCTAGCTATTGTAGATTGTGCTGCTATGAACATAGGGATGCATATATCCTTTCTGATTGGTGTTTCTAGTTTCTTGGGATATATTCCTAGGAGTGGAATTACTGGGTCAAATGGGAGTTCCATTTTCAGTTTTTTGAGGAAACTCCTTATTGTTCTCCACAGTGGTTGCACCAGTCTGCATTCCCACCAGCAGTACACAAGGATTCCTTTTTCTCTGCAGCCAGCCTGTTTTTAATACAGGAATCTTTTCTTGGGGCTGCAATGACCCTAGTTCTGTGGTCGGCAAACTGCGGCTCGCGAGCCACATGTGGCTCTTTGGCCCTTGAGTGAGGCTCTTCCACAAAATACTTCGGCCTGAGTGAGTCTATTTTGAAGAAGTGGCATTAGATGAACCTTACGTTTAAACAATTTGGCTCTCAAAAGAAATTTCAGTCATTGTACTGTTGATATTTGGCTCTGTTGACTCATGAGTTTGCCAACCACTGCCCTAGTTGTATCTTGGGCTTTTCTTTAAAATGGATCCTGATGAAAAATATGTAATTTTATACAATTGCTAGGATTTTCAGACAAGTCAAGAGCTCAAGTTGGATCCAGAATACGAGATAAGCAGCAAAAGCCAAGGCGACCTGTAGCCACAATTCCCACTGTAACATGATCTTTCTTGGTTACATCCAGTAGGACTGTGGGGGCCACTCCAGCTCCAGTGCTAACTGGCCCTCACTGGTTTAGCTCAGTGGATAGAGCATCAGTCTCAGACTGAAGGGTCCCATATTTTATTCCAGCCAAGGACACATACCTTGGTTGGAGATTCGATCCTGATGTGCCTCTCTCACATTGATGTTTCTCTCTCTATCTCTCCCCCTCCCTTCCATTCTCTCTAAAAACCAATGGAAAAATATCCTTGGGTGAGGATTAACAAAAGTAATAATAATAATAAAATAAAATACATTGTGCTAGATGAGACCAGGGCCCTTCAGCTTTGGGCACATATTCACTGCTAACATATTCACCATAAACATAGCTGTGCATGTCCAGGTACCACCTTTCTAAGCATCCTTGGTAGTAACTCTGCAATACAATGGATAAAGCCAGGAGGAGATTGAGTCACCTTCTTTTCCATGTCCCGATTCTCTACATATCTTTCTAAACAATGAAGTCTAAGGGCCTCGTTGCAAAAATAACATAGTGAAAGTCTACCCAGCCAATCTCTTCTTAGTGTTTTTATTATAATTTGCTATTAACGAAGAGGGATTTTATGACATGCTTGCTTAGATGCTCAGATGCTACGTGTATTTGAGTGAAGAGAGATTTTACTTATAATCTATGAATCTCACTTTGAGGAGCAGCATTCCCAGTGTGTAAGTAAATGTGCTGGCTGTTTGTAAGAACACACTTGAGCTCTCTCTTTCTCGAATGCCTCTTGTTGGTATTGAGAGTTGTCAGTAGGAAGCAGTGGGTCCCTGGAGGCACTCTGGGTCTCAAGATCCCTGTGGAACTCTGATTGTTGACTTGGATGTGGATTGGTGTGAAGAAAATCACAGAATTTAGAGTTAAATGCTTCCAATTCTGGTTTACTGGCTGTGTGAGTTACTTCAACTGTCAGTCTTATTTGACTTGTCTAGGAAATGGTGATACGATCCAGTAGGGTTGCTGGGTGAGTGATGTGCTGTGAATGTCAAACATCTGGGAGATGCCTGAACAGCTGTAGAGTCACAGTCAATGTCAGTTTCCCTCACGGGCTACAATATATTGAAACTGTCAGGCAGAAGCCTGGCTGTGGCTCAGGAAAATCACACTCATTTGGGGGGCACATTGGAGAGCCCAGAATTCAGTGATCTTTCAGCTGAGCGCCTCTGCCAAGAGCAAACATCAGAAAACAGATGCTCTCTGCCTCTGTGCCCTTTAGCCATGGAAGAACCATGTCTTAGCTAAAGTTTAAAAATATACATATCTTGTATTCTCTACGTATCACTTGTGGCATTTACCCTAGGAGAATTTTAATGAAATGAAGTGCATTCAGGGCACACATATTAGTAAATGAAGGTTGTATGAGAAAACTGAAAGTATTAAAGAATAAATCACAAAAATGATATCAGATTCACTCTGACCAACTATTTTTTTTTTCATTTTAATGCTCGTCATTAAATATACAAAGGAAGTCAAAACTTCAGTAGTACCATATTCTAGAAATATTAGGCAAGCCTGGGAGAATTTTGCACAAACCAAGGCATGAAATGATTCTTAAAGTATAGTAACTAAGCCTGGTATGGGGAAGTATGTGAAATTTTCACCCATCCCCACCCGGGATAGTAGACAGCTGGCATCAAGGGCCGCCCCCATTAGTGGGAGAGGCAGTTTTCTGACGTGATTGCCATAACCCCATCACTTCCCACCAAAGAGACTGTTGAAGCTGAGTGGTAAAGCAGTCAGATCTGATTGAGAAAGTGAGAATTGCCCACCATTTCCAAGATGGCTCCCCGCTGACCCTTGTGATTTGCAATAGTCTGGGACTTGAGCACCCAAGTAAACACATGCCTAAGGGCAGCTAGAAAATGTTTAAATTCCTCTTTGCATTACATGTTTTCCCCTATAAATATATTTGGTCAACAGATAGTATATAGTTTTGGCAGAAGATAAGATAATGGTGTATCTCTTAACATTTGGAGTGAAGAGGAAAAGACAATAACATTGAATAACAAAGGCTTGAAATACTTTGCGTGGTTTCAGTCCCCTGGTCTCCCTGAATAATACATTAAAAAATAGTCATGAATCATGTTTTTCCTAGCAGGTGTCACATCTACAGTAGCAAGGAAAGTCAAAACAAAAACATTTTTTGTTTTTTTTCTTTTCTAAATCTACAAATAGTTAGCACATTGGAATGCATAAATATAATAAGAGAGGAATGACCCTATTACTAAAATCTTTTTCAATCTTGCCTTGATTTTATCTAGAGTTAACACTTAATCTGAGCAAAAGGATTCTTGTTTCGCATTGTATTTTAATGCTGTTCTATTATTGCAGCCAGTCAATATGCTGTGGAAATACTTTGGTAAGAGCAGAAAAGGTGGCACAGAACCCAGACATAAAGGGAGAACTGGGCACCACTGATTATCAGAGCAAAGCCAGAGGCAGGGAGAGAAGGGGATCGAGGCAGTGGGCACGCCCCTCTTTCTGCAGGGGTCTACAGGCTCTGTCAAACCTGACTAGAGAAATTAGTCATCACTCATGGACTCAGAGAAGGATGGAGGGCTGTTAATTTCTTCCCTTCCCTAAGTAGGTCATTCAAATTGTTTGCTTTTTCCCCTCCCTAGTCAAGTGGCTGTTTCCTTGGCACCCTGACTCTACCAGCATTGTTAATGTCAATATTTTGGTGATTTTTATTTGCCATCATTCTTATCAACCGTTTTTTCTGCATGTTTTATGTCCCTGTGTGTGTGTGTGAGAGAGAGAGAGAGAGGGAAGGAAGGATAGAGAAAGGAAAGGAGGGAGAAAGGAAGGAAAGGAGGAAGGGAGGGAGGGAGGGAGGGAGGGAGGGAGGGAGAGAGAGAGAGGGTTAGAGTTAGGGTTAGGGTTAGGGTTAGGGTTAGGGTTAGGGTTAGGGTTTTGCTCAGTGGATAGAGCGTCGGCCTGTGGACTGAAGGGTCCCAGGTTCGATTCTGGTCAAGAACACATGCCCCAGTTGCAGGGCTTGATCCCCAGTAGTAGGGGGCGAGCAGGAGGCAGCCAATCAGTGATTCTCTCTCATCATTGGTGTTTCTATCTTTCTCTCCCTCTCCCTTCCTTTCTGAAATCAATAATATATATTGTTAACATAATATTAATTTTAATTCCCAAAGTAAAATATTGTATTATAGAAAAGTGTACTCTGCATCAGGTTACTTTTACATAATCTATTGTCTGTAAATTTGAGTCAGAAGAAAGATTAATATATATATATATATATATATATATATATATATAATTGATTTTTTACAGAGAAGAAGAGAGAGGGATAGAGAGTTAGAAACATCAATGAGAGAGAAACATTGATCAGCTGCCTCCTACACACCCACTACTAGGGATGTGCCCGTAACCAAGGTACACACCCTTGACAGGAATTGAACCTGCGACCTTTCAGTCCACAGGCCGACACTCTATCCACTGAGCCAAACCGATTTTGTCAGAAGAAAGATTTTTAATGCTTTGCGATGAGCTGTAGGTGTGTGGTTTGTATTTTCCATCTCCCATTTCTGATGTCCATTCTGTGGGCACCCCCCTACCTCCCTTTTCATATTTTGGGCCTGACAATTTAATATCTGCAACATTTAAGCTTTCCAGACTTAATAGGACAAACTGGGTAGAATTTATTTGATAACGGAAAGGACTGTCTAGTGTTAATCACACCAGAAAGAAAAATCAATTTTTTGAAATATGTGCCCTGGGTACATTATACAAGATCAATCTAATACTCTGCTTCTTACTCAGTCTTTCTGATTTAAACCACTCAAATCAGATCAGCCTCGCTGACGTTTCTCTTGCTAAAGTCTTGGACTCCACACCAATTTGTTCAAAATTAAACTTCTGACTATACTTTCTTCATTTCATTATTGCGTGTTTTAAGCACTACTTAACCTTCCTCTTTTGACTGATCCAACCCCAGAAACAAAATTTGCCTTTTTTTTTTTCTATTATACTATTCCTAGTAAAGGACCCGAAATCTGATTTGACTTTTGATTATAATGAATATCTAATAGTAAATATGATTTTTTATTCATTCCCAAGAAGTTTCATGAGAAAACTCCCTAATTCCCCTCCTCCTCTCCCCGTCCCCGCCCCCCCCCCCCCCCCCCCATGACTGTGATTTAGCTTCCAGGACCTTCCTCATGCAGATTTTCAAGTTTATGCTGAAATGCAGTTTTTCTAAATTCCGACTTTGCATGGTGAGGAGGCTTTTCTTGTTCCGTGACCCAGGTATTGAGGCCAGGCCCCTTTCATTTCAAATGACTAAACAGAAAAGGCTAGTGGAGGGGATCCCCTCACACACACCTAGAAAGCCATGTCTCAGGGTTGGCATCTGTCCCTTCCATTCAAATTCCATTTGCTACACCTGACTGCAAGGAAGGCTGAGTGGGCGCCCAGGAAAAAAGAGGAGTCGGGCTGGCTGGTGTGGCTCAGTGGTTGAGTGTCAACCTATGAACGAAGAGATCATGGTTCCATTCCCCGTCAGGGCGTATGCCTGGATTGCGGGCCTGATTCCCAGTGTGGAACATGCAAGAGGCAGCCAATCAACGATTCTCTCTCATCATTGGCTGTTTCTCTCTCTCTCCCTCTCTCTCCTTTCCTTTATGAAATCAATAAACATATATTTTTTAAAAAGAGGAGTTGGAGTTTTGCCGAACAGTTGGCAGCCTGCTGACTATACCTAAAGCCTGGGCCCTAGGACACTATAAAGAAAGCTTCACAGTTTGATGAGCTTCAGCTGAGGGGAGAGCAGAGAGGGCTGAGTCTGACTCACTGAGACCCTGGAGACACCTGTTGGTTCTGGTTTGCAGATCCCACCTGGAACGGATGCTGATGTGACGGATGCTACCTCCGTGCCAGCAGCAGAGGGCGCCCCGGCAGAGGAAGCAGAAAAGGAGATGGAGGCAGCGCTCCCTGCTGGGGAAGCAGCAAGTTTAGAGGAGCCCAAGATTGAGACAGAAACTGCAGAAGTCCCAGAGAGTGACAGATGTCAACCAGAGGAAAAGGAAGCTGCAGCGCCTCAGGTAAGTGCCCGGTGACGTGGAGGTGCTGGGGAGATGTGCCCTGGGAATGCTCTGCCTATTGGTTAATGGCCATAACTCTTGAATGCTGAATAGGTTTATAGCCATTTTGTGAATGCTGCTCAGTATTCTGGGGTTCCACGCAAGCCCCCAGGGCTACGGTGACTAGGCTGAAATTAGGCACAGGTAGAGGTAAAGGAAACTATGGAGAAAAGAATGAAGCACAGATAACAACAACAACAACAACAAAGAATGGAGGCAGGAGAAAAGGAGTATAATAGACTAACAGGGTGGCTGTGTGGATTATGTAAGAAAAAGGCCATAAAGTGCTTAGCCTGGTGCCAACCACATGCTGAGAACCCCAATAGTAGTCGTTAAATCATGTTACTATGATTATTTGTGGTTTTTATTGTTAAAGTACCTCCAAATTCACCCCACATTAGGCTTCTTTTACCAAAAGCCCATCTTTAGGTTGCATATTCAAAAGGAAAATTGGTCACGTGAGCCTTCGTCCTCATACGTGAAGCTGGGCTTTGCCCCAGGTCGGGCTTTCTGAGACACGTGCTCAGAGGCAACATAGCCCCTACACTGTGACTGTGGCTTCAGGCCCTGGGGCCAGAGCAAGCACAGCTCCTCACAACCCCGTGCCAGGATCCTCTCCCTTCTAGAAGGTAACAGAGAAGAGTGGGCTTAATGAATGCTTTCCATTCTTCTGATTACTTTACTCATCATGAACGTCCAGAAGTCTCTCCAGGGCTTCTCAACGTTTGAAATTGAATGGCCCCTTTCCTCCCACTAGAAACACAGCGAGTAGCAGCGTTGGTGTTTGGAGAAAGAACTGAATTCTCTTCATTGTCATATTGTCTTGCCACCATGCCAGGAATATGTTTGTGTGTATATATATATACACACAATATACTCTTAGTTACACTTGTTGAAAGAGTATATTATTTCCTCCAAATTGAAGAATGGAAGTGCTTTTGTCTACCGATGCCTGAGGCGATATAGAAATCATTATTATTGTAATCTGAAAAGCCATAACTATCTCCAGATGTCCATTATGTGAATTAAATCCACCTCTCCCTTCTTGCTCTCACCTTTGTCAAAACGTAAGAGGACGGCCATGATCCTTTGGCCTACTTCCCCGGACAGTGGAGTGTTGGAGTGGTTGGCGGGAGTCCTAATCTCAGAAAGGAACTGGGGTGTGGCTCTGACCATAATTAGCAAATGGGCCACGTCTGTACCAACCAGGTGGCTTCAGTCTCTCTGGGAGCCCCAGGAGGCTCTGGGAGAAAAGCAGGTGGGCCACCGCAAGAATGAGTCCATCCTTGGAATCTCACTGCAGGTCCTTTTAGGACTGTCCTCTCCACCCGCCATGGCTCCGCCCCTCCCCGGAGTCTCTTATCCCTCTCCCAGTTTACGCAGAAACCTCACTCTTACCAAACTGGATGGTTGTTCAAGGAACCAGCAACTAATCCTACGAAGGAGACAGAGAAAGGAGGAAGGTCCCGCAAGGCGGAAGGCCCCAGGGCCAGAAAGCCTAAATCGAGTTTGGGGAACCGCAGGAAGGTCTTTGAAATGAGGGTGCCATGGAGGGTGTGATGGGGAGAATGTTTCCAAAGGACCACCACGTTTTTCTTTCCCCAGGAGAAGGTCATCCCTGCTGTCATCATAGAGCCCGCTTCCAACAACGAAGAGGAGGGAGGACACGAAATAGCGACAGGTGCAGAGCCCAAGGAGGCGACTGAAGACCCGGCTCTCTCAGGCCCCACCAGTGAGATGCCTGAGCCCGCTGCTGAGCAGAAGGCCCCTGAGGACTCCCAGCCCGAGCCCTCCGCTCCGCCTGCAAGCCAGGCCTCTCAGGAAGTGCCTCCCGGCTTTCTCTACAAGGTCTTTCCATTCTTCATTTTTAAATCCGGTGGCCAGTCGTCCTTCCTTTGCTTTGAGGCCCTTCAGCTCACACCTTTGGCTTCCAATGTTCATTTTTAGTTTTTGCCGCACAGACCTTTTTCTGCACTGCTTTCCCCTCCCTCTTGACATCACATGGCAACAGGGCAGGGTTTTTGTGCTGTGGGCAAGGGAACTACAGTGATGTCTTTCCATGTTTAGCCAAGGATCGTTCAATGCTATGCCCCTTGCTAGTGAGTGGGTTCCCGCCTTCCACCTGAGTGTCCTCTGCTCCCGGCATGGCTCCGTGGGGGCCTCCAGCCCTGGGCTCACCTGCTCCCAGCTGGATTATACACACCTTGGAGGGCAGGACACAGGAATCACCATTTAACTCTGGCAACTCAGGCAGGACACAGCAGGGAGCCAATAGGTATTTTAAAAGAAAGTGGATGCATATGTTAATGGACTTCTATGAAAAGGAAGAGAGAAACCAGGCCAAAATTTGTGGGCAGGAGCTCTTGCTCAGAGAGGCCAGCAAGTGGTTACATAGAACCTTTGTGCATTGAAGGGCCCTTACAAAAACCAGCCCAGCAGATACTAGACACACAGGCTTCAACCACGTGGGAAAGGCGGCGAATCCTCCGTAACAGAACATTGTCGGGAATTAAAAGTCCCATCGTTCAGTTTTACATGTCGAATTTCAGGTCTTGGTTTTTTAAGAAGTATTAAATTTTTGATTGTTCGTGTGGGTGGGATTGCCTCGTCATGCTCTTTTTCTTCTCTCTGCTTCTTAGTCAGTACCTGTTGCTGCATCCTATGGGATGGGGTGGGTAGAATGGATTTATGAATGAATTATGTGATGAAAACACTAAGCCTGTGGCAGGTGAGAGCGTGTGTCCCACCATGTTTTGTGTTACAGAACAAGGAATCAGGATGCAGGGTGCCACCGGAGGCCGGGCCCAGCTGGGCCCTCTGACCTCCTTACTGGCCACTTCACTGCCCACCCCCCCACCCCCACCTCCCACCCCTGGGTATCAGTATTCTCATCAGAAAAACAAATTTGGGGATAAGAGAGTAACTTCCAGCTCTGACATTTTATGATTCTACATGCAAACAACACATTTTAAGAGCTGATTATTTAATCTCATGGGTAGGGGAGGGAGGGACATGGGAGAAATAAACCCGGGTGTGATTATAGATCGTTATTTAAGCTGCATAATGGGGCTCATTTTACTCTTCTACTTTTTAAAAATTTTCTATACTCAAAGTTAAAAGAAATCTTTCCAAAAAGGGAACTAGAAATAGATTGTCATGTTTAAAAAGTAGGACAGGGAAAGAAGGAAGTTTATTTACAAGAGACTGGACACAGGACTTGATTAAATCCTGATTTCATTATAACATGCAAGCCACAGTTTTTCCAATGCGACAGAAGCTGTGGTTAGAGGAACATTCAGCTAGGCATTTTCAGTTCAGGTTAAAAAACAAACCATAATATAGCATCTGTGATAGATAATTACATGCAAATCTCTAGCAAAATTATGATGCATTAAACTTTAATGTTTGAGCTCTAGCAGAAGGCATTGCATTACTAAATATGCGTCCAAGTGGCCCAGTTTCCGTCGGCAAGAATAGGGTGTGTTAAGTAAAGGAGAGGATTTCCTTTCTGCCTTCAGGAGCCTTCTCCTCCCCTGGGGAGGTACAGGTCTTCCTTTTTATCAGCTTGGAGATGCTATTGAGATGCCTGCAGATCCTCAGACTGTGAGAGTTTGACCTTTTTTTCTTCCTCACATTATTCAGTTCTTTTACGACCTTGCAGGTGGAAGCACTGCACGATTTCGAGGCAGCAAATTCTGATGAACTTACCTTACAAAGGGGTGACGTGGTGTTGGTGGTCCCCTCCGATTCGGAAGCTGACCAGGTAAAGGCTGAGATTGGAAAGTGCAGTAAGCTCTGTTGATTTTTGCCTAAGGTTCATTTGGGCATGGTGACTTCCTGAAGCCGTTTGTATTTTCTGAGATGCTGCAAGGCCACTTTGAAAAGGATTTAAGGGCTTATGACAACAGTACATCACGAAATTTAGGTTTGGGATGCTATTACATTGTTTATTTTTTATATAAATAGATGACTTTTGTCAGTCAAATTTTCTTGCTTTTCTCACCTGTAGAAATTTTCTTACTGTGGGTAATTCATTATAGAGTCTGGATTCTGTTTTCTATCTCTGAAGATTGCTTCTTGTAGCAGGCATTCAAACTACTGGATAATTACCTTGAATCCATGGAAGTTTGTTTTACTCACTTTGTTAGAATGGGTCTGTTTCAGGTTTGCCATACTCTTAGGATAAATTCTTAGTCCTGGGTCATTGTCTCTACCTCTAAGTCATGCCCCATATGGAATTTCAATAGAAATTCTGATGGGTTAATCAAGCCCTCTAACTTGATGGCATTTGAACTCTAAATTCTGCCTTCCCACCACTCATTTGAATCATCTTTTCCAGCCTTTCTGCTTTCCCAAGGCCTGTTGGGGGTTCCCCTTATGCATCCATAGTTTGGGGACAGCTCAGGATTTTAGAGAAGCTTCTCTGTGTATTTAGGGCACTTTCCCTGTATGTCTCTTTTTTCAAGACATCCCCCATAAAAGTATAGCTGCTCCTCAAATCTATCCTCTGAATGCCCTGCATTATAACGAGAACCCCCAGGGGAGAGGCTGTACTAGCACAGATCCCACCTGCGCAGCACCCTACTTCCAAGAGTTAAATTGTCTCTGATGTCTGCCTGCTTTTGGTTACTCTCAGTGCCTTCAAATGATTGTTATATAGGTACAACCCCTTTATTTATAACAAGCCCATTATATAAACGTACATTTTATAGTATATATTTTGTAACTAATAGTCATTTCTGTATTAAAATAGTTGCCTATATCTATACATATTAGGTCTATAAAAATATATAGTTTTTCTAGTGCTTAGAATTGCTCGGTGCAGAAGCATTTGTCTGCTACAAGCTATTTTACCATTACCAAAACTGGAAATTCTTAGTCTACCACATAATTTAAATAGTTAAAATTTAATTTTCTATTTGCCTCAGCTAAAGATTGATACTGGTAAGTAATAGTTCACTTTACTATATAATTTTATTTCAGGATATATGTCTTGCAATTTATCTTTTTATTACATTTATTTTTATTGAGAGTATTACAGATATCTTGATTATAGGTTTATGCCAGTCCTTTACTTTTGTTCTTTGTTGAAACAGTTTTAAAGTGCTTGACTCTACTTGGCACCATTAGATTTTCCACTTATTATAAATAAAGTTAAATATAAAATATAGATACTTGCAGAGAAAAATGTGGCCTTTTGTGTGCTTACCCAATAAATTTCATTAAAAATAAAATAGAAAGAAAATATTTAGTTACCACCTTTTACTTTATGTATAACTTTGTCCTTCACACATATAACATCATAATTTTAAAAAGAATAATTTTGTCATCACCTAGGATATTATCAGTTATTTTATTGTCAATTTTCCCCACTGTTATTTTTTTCTGCCTTCAGAAATTGGCTTGTCTAAATGCTTATATTTCTTGTCTCTATAGCAGCATCAATTTATGGTCTCAGATTATATCACAAGAGAATGTATTCAGCTCCTTTAATTTTTGAGTTCCCATTTATCTGATGTACTTGAAACTTCATTGGGAATTGGTTCCGATTAAATCTGGCCATCCTTCATCTTAAGAGGGATCTCTCTCATGTGTTGGTTAACATAATAAAGATAGCCATGCCCCACTAGCTTTGCTTGTATGGACTGTATGTTCATGTTGTTCCTTCAGCTCAGCTTCAGCTCAGCTCAGAATGGGCTTATTTTCATAGGCCAAGGACAGATGGCCATCTCCGTTTCTCAGATTTACATGCCATCTCCTGTGCTGTATGACTACACACGGATGGGCTATTTAACCTTTCTCTGACTAAATGTCTACAGTTCCACAAAATAGATACATGTTTATAAATAGTAATCTATAAAGAATATACGAATGTTTCCAACAAGAATATCGTGACAACAAACTGCTTTGTACTTTATATAAACTTGAAAGATATATATATGATAACAGCAACCATAACACAGCAGTAACATGAAGCTACTTTTCTACTTTTCTAGCCATCACTATTGGATCAACCCAGGATGTGGTGGTTTACTTAGGTTACAAGATGTGAGCGGGGGGGGGGGGGGGGGGGGGGTGTGTAAGGATGACAGAGTTGTTTTTTATTAGCAGGTGGTTCAGGATGAAATCCAAGAACTTGGATGGCCTTGCTAGCATTATATTCTAATCTAGTCTTTTGATCATCGTGACCCCCAGGGCAAGAAATGTTCCTGTGCATAACATCTTCTTACATGTATCCCTCTCTTTGTGCTGGCTATTATTCCTTTTTAAAAATATGAATATATTGAATGGATTTTAGAGAGGAAGGGAGAGAGAAATAAGGACAGAAACATCAATGATGACAGAGATCATTGACTGGCTGCCTCTGTACGCCCCATACTGGGGATCGAGCCCACAACCTAGGCATGTGCCCTGACTAGGAATCTCCTGGTTCATAGGTCAATGACCAGTGACCTGTTGGCTCATAGGTCGACGCTCAACCACCGAGCCACACTGGCTGAACTTTGCTGCTGTAACTCTAACCCTTTTCTTTTCCTGGACAACTCAAGTCATACTCCAGTTGCCATCCATCAGCTATAGTTTATACAAAATTATAATATTAATAGCAACCTTCCGTCAGCCTCCCCAGTGATCTCAGCACAGCAGTCGACATGTAAGGTAACATGTTGGTGCAGAGCCACAACACTGACTACCCGGATTGCTTTGTTTAACTGTTGGCAGTGTGGGTTTTCCCCGTGGCTGGACCTTGAAAGGCCTGTCTCTGTCTTGCAGGACGCGGGCTGGCTCGTCGGCGTGAAGGAATTGGACTGGCTCCAGTACAGAGACCTCGCCACCTACAAAGGCCTCTTCCCAGAGAACTTCACCCAGCGCCTGGAGTAGGGCCAAGGGCATTGCAGAAAGAGCCTGGCGTTGAGGTTTTTAAACCTTCGTGAAAACCTGAAGAGTTCACTTCTGCTATTATGCTCCTAATGACTTGCAGGCTGATGCCAGATACAGGTTGGAAGGCTATATCCACGGAGCATGTGTGCAAAAAAAAAAAAAAAAAAAAAAAAAAAAGCAAATGAAGGAGAAAGTCCTCCTTGGTTCCCCTGTGATTCAGAACAAGTTTGTTTGTGCTTTGTCCGAGCTGTGGAGACTCTTGTACTTGACCCCCCTCCCACCAGTTCTAAAGTAGCTTTCTCCAGACCAGAACCTTAACTCTGGGCACCAGGTGTGTGGTGTGAGGTGCTGCCCTGCAGAAGCCGTGCTGAGTGATCCTGTAGTGCAAGATGGTTTCCTTCTGGGGCGGTGTGCCCCCATGCCACGCCTCTTCTCTCTCTCTCTCTCTTACAAGTTTACTGTGTTTAAAACGAAACTGCTGCAAAAGTTTTCAATGTTCTTTTCCAACACACCTCTGTCTCTCTTTCTCTTTACACACACATATATATAGACATATATATGGACATTGTGCACGAGCTAGTTCCCATCACTCCCGGACCTATGTGTATGCACAGAAGGCATATGCATAGCTGCTTTCTTTCCATGGTAGCTCTTTGCCTCCCCGGTGTCATTGGTACATGCATTGCTCTTATTCTGTCTGGCATTGCAATTGCAGTTTTTGCCTCAGAACAAAGCCAGCCATCCCATTGCCAAAACAGTCGACGGTATCTGTGTCCGTAACGCGCATCGTTCCGGGTGCGATGACAAGAGGCAGGTCAGAGCTGCTGTCCCTTTGGAGAAAGGCAGAGCCTGATTCCCTGCATGTCCGGCTGCTGTGGCTGGAGGCAGGCTGGTCGGGATGAGCAGCGAACTTCCTAACGTCGTCTGCCTTTAAGAGATTGGCTAGAGATCGGGGCATAGAAACCCACCCCAAAAAGAACATTTCAAAATAAGCTCCTCTATATTTCCACCTCCTTCTATTTATGCGACTCCACTTCACAGATTGTCCTAAACTAAGGTATGCTGTACTCACAGATCATCTGTAACGATAATGTTCTCAGTGCTGTGTCATTCCGAATAAACCTTTGGTCCGCTCCAGCAACTACCCCAGTTCCTTCTGACGAGTCATTTGTTTTTGGAAAGCTGGTCTCAGTCGGATTCCCTACTGTGTTATATTGGAGTTGTTATTTGTGCAGAAATCTGCTTGTGACCCTTGGTTGTGCTCCATGGCTCCTTCCCTTCCCCCTCTCCTTCATTCCAGTGATTGCTGGTCCCTGGCGGTCCCTGTGGCCTGACAATCACTACAGCACAAATAACAGCTGCGGACGGAGGCCCCGCAGAAGTGGTGGGCCCCACAGACTGGGGCCCCCGGTCTGTGTATCACAGAAAAACCTGACGACCTTCATAATCAGCAATTTCTTCTCACACCAGCCTCATTTTTTTTTTGTCACCTTTCTTTTTGACATGTTTATGTGTGTAGGCACATTAAAAAGAAAACTAGATCAGGGGAATCGTTGTTTATGGAAGAGAATTTTCACAGCAAAAACCTTTCATTTCGTGTAGACCTTTTCCTGCCAGTGTAATTCTAGACACAGTGGAAGCTGATCGAGGATACCCATGGCTAGACTTAGGATTTTGGTACGTATTTATGATTCACGGTTTGACTTCTCCGGGTGGGTTCTTGACGTTGATGTTTGTGTTGATAAGGAAATAGCAATGATCCACCTGAGATTTTGGGGGGCTAATGTCCAGGGAAGCTGGATCATCATGAATGCTGGTCCAGCGCAAGAAAAGAAGGTGCACTGCCCAGCAGCACAACTGATGACTCAGCAAACAACATGCAGCATTGCCCAACATGTCATAGAAAAGCCATCCCTGGCATTGAGAGTTCTCAAAGAGCTTGAAAGCTAAGATTGAAAAAGCAGTTCTTACAATAAATGCACCTGATGTTCCCCCAAAATTATTCATTGTCCCACCTCCTGGAGTGGTGCCCCTGGTGTTTCTCTGATGCTCCCCTCCTTTTCCTCCTCCTCTCCCCTGTCCCCCGTAGCACATCCCAAAGTGAACAGTTTGGCAGGGTGCAGCTCCTTCACCTGTGATATCCCTGGAGGAATTTAACAAGTTCTTCCAAAATGACATGCTTTCAATGTAATCAGATTATTTGTCTCAGGAATTTTCAGGATCCTAAATTTTCCAAACCAGTGAAAATTCAGTGCAGGAAGTGGAAGCGATGGGATGGTGGTATTCTCAAGAAATGTCTATGGACGCGGAATAAACATTCTTTTCCATTTCAGTGCATTTCCTAAGGGACCTGTGAGCAGTTAGTTTCAAGGAATTCCTATGGTTACTAGTGTGAAAGGTCCTTCCATATCCCTTTCTCAGTTACTCCAATTCAAGTTCTCAGGCCACCAATCCACCTTGTGGCACATCACCTGACCACGTACTGGTGAGTTTGTACCGTAGTTATGCTTTATTACAAAGGGCCTTGACCCCAGAACCCTATGCAGGCCTCCTCTTTGTATTTTAAGATTTTTCTGACCAACCCAGTGGCACTCAGTCCTTCCGATAGTCTAAAGGACCTTCCAAGAATAAGAACAAGAAAGCCTGTGGGTTTTTATGGAACACACACCTTACTTGCATTCCTACCAGTACCACATATAGACATGCATTTAGACCTGCACGTATGTACTCGCTAAACTCTCTGACAACTTGAATTTTAGCAGCATCTCAGCATAGCCGGGGGCCTGGGATGGGAGGAGCTCTATGCACCCCGCTGTCACCGTGCTTCCACAGGTCCTGCTCCTCCTGACAGAGCTGGGGCAGAATACCACATCTGGCCTGTGCGGGGCTGCCCGGGGGGTGCGGGTTCAGAATGTGGAGCCCTCTCTTATCACATGAAGGAGCTGTAACCAGGCCACTAGGCAGATTCCAGCAGGACCCCAGGGCCCATTCTGATGGTCCACTCAAGAAACAGCCATTAGGAAACTGCAAAAGTTACTGTAAGTCAATGAGTTTAAAGAGGACTGAAGCTCCGTGCTTTATGCCACGCAGCTTGCATGGCTGAGTACCTCGAAGCCTTAGACATGGCTGATTGCTTGCTGGGACTCCACTCCTCTGCAATGGAGCCCACGCTGCCTTCTGGTTTTTACTTGAAACCCAACAGAGAACCTTACGCACATTCCATGCCAGACCTTGCAGACGAGCTGGTCACACAGTTACCCGATGTGGTGGCCAAGCCCCGTCTTCCCAGGACCCGGATCACTCCCACTGGCCATTTGGTAGCTGCATGGAGAAGATGGTGACCCGGTTCTCTTAGCAAACTCAGAGGATCGAGAGCCATGTGGTTCTCCTCGTCCTTGACCCCACCTGCCTCAGACCTGCTCAGTTATCCAGGCTCAGTGCTCTCTCCCCACCCCCATCCCTCCACCCCCACACCCAGTGCTCAGAGTGGGAATGTGAAAGATTGTTCATGAAAGCCAAATAAAATAAAATAGTGCCAAAGTAAGCTTATCAATCCATCCCAATAGATTGCAACTCATTGGTTGTCCTTTTGTTAATTGTTTAATGGCAGCACCTGGTGACTTTTTCACTTTAAAGGTAATTCAAACACAACCCTAAGTCTATGCAAATTGAGAGGAAGTTCTTTCAAAGGATACACTTCCTTTTGGTTTCCAAAACCCCAGTAACTCCCAGTCTCCTTTGATCTCAGGTCCACCGGGGCTGGCTCATTCTTCTAGGCTGGGCCAGAGCCAGTGCTTGCAGGCTGCTCCTCTGTTAGCTCTGACCAACACCTCCTGATGCATCCAAATGCCACATGCTGGAGCCTGTCCCCTGTCCTGCCAATGGATCATTAAACTCAGTGTCCTTGTGCCCAGCTCTCCAAACACCCACCAGTGACCACAACATAATCTCGGTGGCATTTGATGATGCCACCAAACTTTTCCAAATATTGTCTTTGTTTTCCTCCCTCTCTGATTGCTCCTTCAGCGTCCTAATGTTTTCGTGCTGTGCCCAGTGGGTGCTGGAGTGGGGCGCAGCAAGGGACAGTATCAGTCTCCATATCCCAGTGTGTATTCCAGCCATCCAGAGAATGTTTCCTTTGGACTCAGTGTCCCATGTCGGCTCCATGCCCGCATGCTCGTTTCTTCATTAAACATTTGTCAAGCTCTTGCTAAGTGTCAGTTACTGTGCACTGGGGCCACGTTTACTAAGACTGTGCTCATGGAACCTCCCACCCCCCAACCCCCTGGCACACCACATAGAGTTTCCTTTCTTCAGAACCCTAGGCCTGCAACGTAGGAGCCCACTTTGTGCTTCGTTTTCCATACTACACACACTTGCCTCCATTTCTTCCTCACAATGGTAGGAGACTTTGCCCTTTAACCATTGCCACCTGATCTAAGAGTGGTCCTCATCCTGCCAAGCAAGACCCATGATCTTCCCTGATCTCTCATGGCCTTTCTCCCAGCTTGCCTGCACTCCTAAGTCATCTTACATAGACTGATATCAATATTACCATCCCTCCTCTGTCCCCCCACACCGATGATGAGTATCTATTGTATGTCATATAATTCCTTTTGTTGCCCCCACACTGATGATAAATATCTATGTATGTCATATCAAACCCTGTGCCTCTGCTTGTCTTCACTAATACTTGTCTTCTACTTCCTTCAGACCAGTCTTCTCACTTTCCATCCTGCCCTTCCACCAGGCCTCTACACCCTGCTCCAGTGCAATGCCCTCTCCTGGAATGCACTCCCCTTCATGTTTGCTTCTGCAATTCCCCCTTCCCTCAAGGCACAGCTCAAGCCCTAGCTCCTCAACAAAGCCTTCCTCACCACTCTCTCCTCTGCCTGCACCTATTCGGCTCTCTTCATTTAGCCCTTCATTTCCCCCACTAACGGATAAACTCTCCACCAGCTTGCTCCATGTTCTGAGTCAGCTGCAGGGGCCTTATATAC